AATGTTTGCTGCCTGCATGGGCGCCCAGGGAGCCTCCAGGCTCCTCGGAGGAGCAAGATCTGGGCTGGGCATGGCCAAACCTGCGGGGAATGAGACACTATCAGGAGCTATTTTTGGAAAGGAGAGCATTTACTAAGGCACAGGACAGAAAGGCAGGACTCCCCGCTTCTATTTTGAGCTCTGCTAGTGACAGAAGTCGCCTTGGGAGATGATTTTGGCTGAGACTGAGGGATGTGGAAACCTGGAGCGAGGCATTTAGGCTCGTGTTTAGCCTTGCAAATGAATAGCCGGGTTGCAAATCACAACAGGATTGCTTAAATGAATAAAGATGATGGACGCTCCTGGCTAAGGGTAGGTGCAATATGGCAGCATCTTTACCCCCGGAAAAGTCAGGGCATTATCAGAGTTTTGCTTCTGATTCACTGGAGACTTAAACTGAGCTGCAAATAGTCCCGTTCTGGTTATGAGGGTCTCTGAGCGTTAAAAGGCATTTGACAATCTGTTTCTCTTCGGTATGGATGCTCTTCCACCTTGGTTTATTGTCACTGCTGCATTTTCGTGGCCTTTGATTTACATTGAAGTTTTAGCTAATTGAAAGCCAGCGTTTTATAGAGACCACAGCAAATGGATTGCAGGGATTACAGATGGATTGCCCATAAGCATTTGGGTTTTATTTTAGCACAATTATCAGTGCCTTGTTTACATCCCCACAGTAATTTTTAAGTGCTTTAAATGTTTCAAGTTGTTTTCCATTGTGCAGCTCTCAAATGCCTGTAGTAAAATACTCCTTCCTTTCCAGCTTTGCTCCTTCTAATTAAACAAATCATTAATTCCCTTTCCCAATCCAGGGAAAGCCAGCAAAGTGTGTAACCAGCACAGTGGCTTGTTACAAACTTGTCACCTCCTCGTATCGTATCCATCTCCACTGCATCCAGGAATCCGGTTCCTAATTACTGGTGCTCCATCAGAGGAAGCCCAATGTTTTTGCATGTCAGGGGATGTTATTTGAATACACGTATTTCAGGAATAAATTTAAAGGTCTCTTTAAATTCTTATGTAAATGGATGTGTAGATTCCTTTTGGAAAGCAAATTAGATGATTAACCTGAAAAGCTTTATGGTGATTCCATCATATGCTTTTACTGAGGAAAAAAAGAAAAGGACCATCTTTCCTGTTTCAAGTCATTTTAAGTATTTTTTTTCAGTCATTTCCTCTTCCAATGCTAACGTGAAGCACGGTGGATATGAAATCTGGATATGCAGATTTTGTGCTGGGATTTATAAGTTGTAATAAGAAGCTTGCATGGGTGTGTTAAGTCATCATAACCTTTGGATGGAAAGCCAGACTTTGGAGGACTTTGGATTTATTAGTATTAGCAGCAGTCAGATTTGCACAGCTGAGTCTTGGCTGAGCTTAAAGGTCTAAGCAACAGGCATGGGAGATCCCGGAGCAGCAGAAGGTGCTGGGTGCCCATAGGAAGGGGTGGTGGGTGAGAAGATGCAGGGACATGAGGTGACCCTGACAGTGGCTCCAGGAGGCTGGAGCCAGCTTCCTCCGTGCCGTCTCTCCGGAGGAGACAGTGGTCCAAAACCACACGCTGCCCTTTGCATCCTGGCCTGGGTTTGGAGGAGGCTGGTGCTACTCCAGCCGTGCATCGTGTAGGACCCAGGTCCTGTCTGCTTGAGAGAAGGATATTGTCTTCTCCAAAGCTCTAAGCAGAATTGGCATCTTTAATGTAAAAATCATTAGATGGGACATAATTAACGTTCCTTATTGCACATTAACATTACCCAGAGTCAGGCTGCAGACATAATTTGCTTTGATTAGATATGTAGCTTTAAAAATGAGATTCATCCCAACCTCTATACTATTTATTGGCCTGTCTCCCTTCCCCTAGCTATCCATTATTATCTGGAGCCCTTTCCTGCACTGTCTGGGTAGATTAGGTGACATTAAAGCAGAGTCAGCCTTCTGGTTCCCTGCTGCCCTACCTCTGTGGGAGCTCAGAGGATACACACCATCTCCGGTGTGGACATACCTCTCAGCTTTCTTCTTCCACCCCCTATCCATAGGGGATCTGCACCTCCTTCAAAGCCTGCCAGGAGCCATACAGACCCCAACCCCCTGAATTCAGTTTCCTCGCAGAAAGGTTTCATTCTCTTAGTCTCCTTTTACAGCTTCCCAGAGGTTTGTGAACCACAGGGTCAAGCAGAGCCAGCTGTGCATCGCTGCAGAGCTATTTTGGGATGCTTGTGCCGCTCACCCTGTGATGAGCCAATGCCTGCATCCCTTGTTGGCGGGACCGTTCTTTACCCAGTGGCTGAACATCCCCATCGTGACGGAGACAGGGAGATTTTGGTCCATGTGGCATTTGGCCATGGAGCTCCCATGCTTCACTGAAGAAGCTGGTGCCTTCCCCGTTGCCTCCCATGCTTGGCAGTGCTGTAATTAATGCTGGCCCTGCAAGCGTGATCTGCATCAGGTCTCCCTGGCAATGAGAGCCCTGGGGAGCGCAGAGCCAAAATTACAGCAGCACCGAGCTGACCGCAGGGAGATGAGGGGAACGGAGAGGCCGGGGATGAGGCTGCAGCGATATGCTGGGGAAGGGAAGAAGCAGCACCCAATGTCCCACTGCCCCAGCAGCACCCGGCGCTGCCCCATCTCTCCCTGCATGACCACCGCTTGCACAATCCACCCTTGGGATTCAAAGTGATAAAGCGATTTCTTTTCCTTTCTTTTTTTTCTGCCCCACCAATATATGTCTACTGACAAATTTAACATGCAGGAATCCTCTTTCTCATGGTGTTTGTCCCTGCCAGGAGTCATTGTTTGAGCGTGGTTTTATTCTGGATCCATCTGAAGTGGTCACCTTCCCCAACGTGGTGTGCAAATCTGCCTTGATATTGGCACTTTGCTTTCAGCAACTCCTCGGGCATTTTATTTGATGTTTGGTCATAAAATACAACCCATGTTCTACTTCTTTAGTCAGAAAATGTAGGATTTTCTTCTTCGCCTAATCCTTTTCCATTATCTTTTTTTGTTTTCCTCTTCTCTTTTGTCTTTCATTGATTATTCCTCTGTTTCTCACTCCAACATAGGAGTTTGCAGCAAAATTTGGGTCGCACCAGGAGCAGCTCCTTCCCTCCAGCAGTGTGGGGCTCTGCTTCCCCTGCCACAGTGTGGGCAGCAGCGGGGTCCCGTCTCCAGCTCCCGCAGCCTGGCCCAGGCAACTCAGAGGGATGGATGGAGTCCATTTGGCTGCAGGGCAGCTTGTGGTTGGCTTGTTTATAGCAAGGGTTTTAAAAGACCAGCTTGGGGAGAAGAAAAACTGTAAGTGAGACCCAGAGAAGACATTAAGGGACATCATGAGTGGGATTGCAAGGGATGTTTTTATACTCTCTTGAGCTTGTTTCAAGTCTCTGGGTACCAGACCTGGTGTGAGAAGAGGAAATTTGCAGTGAGAAATCGGGCAATTGTCCTTATCTGGTCTGCGCCAAATTCATCTTGTTGCTGACAAAGCTCAGCCTTTGCTGATGTGACTAAAGGTCCCTTACCTCCAGCAGGCAGGGATGTTTCAGTCTGTGGTTCGGATAAATACTGCAAATCCTCCTATCTTCACTTGTTACCATGACATTAATGGTCATTGCAAAGCCACAAGCATGACCCACTGGTGTGAAACTCCTTTTCTTTAGACAACGAAAAGGAACAGCCACCTACCAGCTGAACTGTACCTTATAAATATTCAGTGTGCAGTTTGTAGGAATTTGAGACAAAGCCAGACGGATGAATTATTTAATGCTTTTAAAGAATGCAACTTTTAGTTTCTTCCTGCTCTGGCCTACTTTATTGTATCAGTAAATCGATCTTTAGTAAATTAATTTCCCTCCTTTTGTTTGAGCAAGCAGTGGGCATCGCGGGCTGGTGGAAATCTTCTCCGTCCATGTGCAGATGCCAGGATACCTCTGTAGCTGCGGACTCAGGCGTTGCGTGTTAGAAGAGAGCTGAGCTGTCATTCATTTTGTGCCTTTTGATTTGCATTAGTGCATCCAGCATTCATGAAAAGCAGAGAGCGGGCAGCTTTGATGGGGACAGCCTGTGAATGACAGGGTGGTGTGGCCCTTCTGAGGCTGCTTTTGGGACAGCCCATAGAAGTAGATGTCAGGAGACTTGGATGCATACTGTAAAGGGGTTTTGAGAATCCCCTATCATTTTCATGGCAAATAAAAGAGGCTGAGTGAGCTGATATCAAAGCTGGGTCCCCCAAGCTCCTGGCAGGATCGGGCTCCTTCATGTCCTTGCAGGGCTGGGACAGAGAGGCCAGCCCAGCTCCCTCGCCGATGGCAGGGTGTCTCTGGCTTTATACTAAGGTACTCACAGCACCGAGATCACATCCCTTGGGCTGGATCAAACCCCTGCCGTGTCCTGTGTCTGGCCACACAACAGCATCCACCTCCTAGTGATGCTACAGCAAACCTGGGTAGTTGCCAGCCTTTCCAGGCAGTAAAGAGTTAATCTGGAGGACCTTTCTAAAAAAGGAACTGTTAAATCCACCCAAAATGTCCTACCCTGGGAAGGATGGGAAATGCAGTCCCACTCCTGTGTAAGCTTTTGTGGAAGAAAATGTATAAGCAGAGCATCAGTGGAGTTTTTTCTGGGTTTGTGTTCAGCCCATTCGCCAGTCTGGTCAGCTGTTATCACGTTAATAAATCAGCGTTTCCCTGCTTGTTTGCATGCTTGTCGAAAGCATGTTGCAGTAAGAGCTGACGGTTCCTCGGGGAAATAATTTCAGGGGTTATCAGTGCCCCCGGGAGGGGAATGGGATTGGCACTGGCCAAACTGGGAACAGTCCAGTGAGTCCTTCCATGCACAACCTTTCCGTTATTAAAATCAAGGAATTTACTTTCTTTTTTTACACAGTGTTGTAGCAGCGGCACAGTAAATATGTCAAAAAATGCTCTCTGGGCTAGTTTGAGCAAGTGTGAAAATCTCCTGCTCTGAAGACTGACGTTCCCTTTTTTATTTTTGTGTTATATAGTTTTCTACTAGTTTTCTCCTGCCTGGTGCTGTCTGTCTTTTCGACCATTGATGAGTACCAGAACAGCTCAGAAGGGGCCCTTTACATCCTGGTAAGTTGAGGGGTTGCAAATGAAGCCGTCAGTGAGGCATTAAAACAAAGTCAAAAACACAATAAAAAACTTGAGGTTGGGAGTGTTTAACTGGGGCAAGAATTTAAACTGTTGCTTGTGAGAAGGGGACCACTGGGACCCGCAGGTAAGAAATAAGGAAAATGTGAAAAGGAGAAATCTGTATCAGGAATAAACTAACAATAATTTTAAGGATCTTTTAAAGCTTTTCTTCCTAAACTTTTTCTTTTTTTCTGCATTTATCTCTGCAATTGCAAAATACAGTAGCAAGACTGATCCCAACTGAAAAGTGGTTTGATGTCCAACAGCTCCCAATACTTAAAGCTGCGGATGTGCTGTGTAGGGAGCAGCCTGCGTAGCTGCCTCCTTTCCCACACTATAACATCCCTGCAACTATTTGATCCGACATCAAGCTGCAGAGTTTTTTTTTTTTGGCATTCCTCGCACTGACAACGTGGCTTCTGCCATGGAGAGCCAGCAGAGATCCTGCACGCGCTGCCGCGTCGCCAGGCTGCCGGCTTCATGTGTCTCCTTTCCTTTTGCCTTTCTTCCTCTTCCCCAGTCCATGCCCTACGTCGACATCAAACGGTGCTGCAGACTAATTAGGGCTTTGCCAGGTTTGACACATGAGAAAGCCGAGGCAAGCGCCGCTGGTAAAGAAATCAGATGGAAGGGAGTGTGCGCAGGCTGTTTGGGTGGCGATGGGAAGAGCTGCGATGCACAGCATCCATGTGCTCGCTTGGTGCCAAGGGACAGAGGACCTCCATTGCCCCTGCACCAGATAGCCCAGCACACAGAGACAACCAGTCCGATTTTCTAGGGAAAAAGCTCTGATCCCCTGTGAAGAGTCCTAGGATGGAGTAGCCAGTGATTTCCATCTCTGGTCTTCTCCAAGTTGCTCAGCATTAAGGTAGTCAAGTCCTGGAGACTAAGGGTGGGGAGAGAAGCAGGCGCTCCTCAGCCTTGTGATGGGGGACACAAGCATGATATGAGAAGACATAAAACTCTGGTTCACAGGCTGTAATGGGCAGTACGTCTGGCACCCCAGGGGAGGGCAAGGGAAAACAACAGCAAAGATCTGACAATCTTTCCGGTCTGGGCTCTCCATTTAACAGTCCTCGTGCAGACAGCTCCACGTTGCATTTTCTGAGGTGTGCAGAGTTTAGGTTATGGGTTTGTATTTGATTCTGGAGCGCACTCTCCATCACACTTCTTTGTTGACTAACGGCGTTGTCTCCCTTGCAGGAAATAGTCACCATCGTGGTGTTCGGGGTCGAATATTTTGTGAGAATCTGGGCGGCCGGCTGCTGCTGCCGATACCGGGGCTGGAGGGGAAGGTTAAAATTTGCCCGCAAGCCTTTCTGCGTCATTGGTAAGTCCTGCCTTCCTGCATGGGATTTCCCAAACCAAAATGGTTATTGCAAGTGCTTGCTTGCGCAGTGCTCTGGTTTCTCACATGCATTTTGGGGGTCCATCCTCGGCTGCTTCATGGTCACCTTGAGAACGGAAAGAGAGCAAAGGCAAAAGTCCTAATGCTTGGCCACCGTTTTCCTTATTCTACATGAGGCCCACCCTGTTTTCTGCAGACCTGGGAGCTGCCCCGTTGCCCTGTGTCCCCCAGGCATCGCTGACAGCCACCCACAGCCACGGAAAGGGGGTTTAGCTGGGAGAAGCCAAGCGTAGGAGCTGGGATCCTGCGTCCAACTTCAACACTGAATTGCTCACAAGTCATTGAAACTTTCTGTGTCTCACTTTGCCTTCCCTGGTGCTGATGAGCTGCCTCACAAGGGAATTATGAGACTTAATTAATTCTTGTTTGCAAAGTACTCGGCCATCCTCTTGTGAAAGGGGCCGTCTGTGCATAGGAGTTATTTTTAATGGGGTAAGGAGTGGGCAGAGAGGCCATGCCATTCGCTATGGAGCCTGCTTTCAGAGGTCTTGGAGCTGGCAATGATCATATGCAGGATTTTAGCTTATTCCACTGAAAAGCACTCCTATAAAATTTGCCTAGAAAACTAGGGAATAGGGAGGTTTACAGGATCTTTGAATTTGAGATATATAGAGCAAGGCTTTTTTTCTTGGCCTTTTTCTTGGACTTTCTTTGTCCGCGAGCACCCTAGGATTGCTATGGTGGACCTCTAGATTTTCATTCCCAATTTAGACAGGGGAATTCACACCTCTAGGCAGCTCTGTGTAACACGCAGCTGCGGCCGATTTAAAAAGGGCATGCATTTTGCAAGGATTTAATCCAGCTTAGCAGTGTTAACACTGAATCCTATCAGAATTCAGGCTTTGCAGTATTTGACACATTTTCTATGGGAAGGATGAGTGTGGAGAAGGAAAAAACTAGGATGTTTCCATAAGGTGTGTAGTGGCTCCTTTCATCCAGGTTAAGATTTATGCGTGTCCTTCCAGCACAGGATACAACTGACGCAAGGTCCCTTTCACGCACAGCCTTCTGCTGCTGGTGGCAGTAGGGTTGTCACCCCGTTTGGTAGTGGTTCAGCAGCATTTCCTCAGCTTTCAATGCCCTCTGTTCCTGCAGACATCATGGTGCTGATCGCGTCCATCGCCGTGCTGGCGGCGGGGTCTCAAGGGAACGTCTTTGCCACCTCGGCGCTCAGGAGTTTGAGGTTCCTGCAGATCCTGCGCATGATCCGCATGGACCGGCGGGGCGGCACCTGGAAGCTCCTGGGCTCTGTGGTCTACGCACACAGTAAGGTGAGCAAGCCCCAAGCAAGGACATTGGGTGGCTCTTCATGTTTCCCCCCACCAGGGACACCACTTCGGTTCAGTTCTCCACCCCAAACATCTCCCAGGCCTGGGGAGATTGGAAAGACACCGTGCAGTAACACGGGGAGTGCAAAGTCAGCGACACAAGGTCCAATGGAGCCCTCCACCCAGTAGAGGAGAGAAAGAAGGGATGTTTAGATGTTTGCAGGGAATATCTTGAACATAGTGACCCCCTGCACACTAGTACAGCTCACTTCAAAGAGTTAGCAATTAGCCAGCAGCCTCGTTAAGCACAGGTGGTGTTCTGAGCTCTTTGTCTAGGATGCACGCTTCAAAGTGGATGCATTTCTGGAAGCTCATCCTGCAAGCAGCAGCCTCTCATAGACGTGATTACTGTACTCTTCCCAACGTGAGATCATGTACCAGTTGCAGAACTGATCCCTGGTGTAAGGCACTTTGGCCTTTCTCCGGTTTGGGAAGAGTTTGTTGACCTTTTTTTTTGTTTGTTTGTTTCCCAGTGCTGAATTTATGAATTTAATGTTTTTCCTCTTTCCTGCACTTTTTCCCCTGTAAAGCTTAGCCAGCTTATTCAGAACTGTGTAAAAATCATAGGGAATTTGTGGGTGTCTCTTGTCCACCCTTGTATTAACTTCACCCAAACCCAATTATTCCTGTGAATTCTGAATTAAAACTTCCCTGAAATTGAGGGGTGTTGTATCCAGACCCCAGCTTTGTAGCTCCTTCCCCGTTAGTGGAAGGGACCTCCTCTAAGCAGGGTCCCCAGGGATTTGGGGTTTCCATTTCAGTTTTAACGCCACTTCCCTGTGTGAACTGGGGAAATATTTTTTTTCTCTAAATTCCACATCTTGAAATAATGGAGCTATTAACTCTCCCTTTTCTTCTCCTTTTGCTGTATGGGTTTAGATGATGGGGTCTTCAGAACAGGGATCACCCTGTATGCGTGGCAGGGCCAGCACCAGTACATGGTCCCATCTCAAAAAATGGCACTACTGATCTCCAACCGAAGCCCCAAAGCCTAAACAAATGCAGAGAAAGTTCAGATCCCACTGCAAGCAACTAACTCAGCTTTTGGAGATGAGCACTAGGATTGCAATTATTCTCTTCTATCCCTTAATGATCTTGCAGGAGCTGATTACTGCCTGGTATATTGGCTTCTTGTGCCTCATTCTGGCCTCTTTCCTGGTATACTTGGCCGAGAAAGGAGAAAATGAGCACTTTGATACATATGCAGATGCACTCTGGTGGGGTCTGGTAAGTAATTTTCCTACAACAGCTGCTGGTTATTAAAATAAAATGTCCATTAACCCTCCATCTTCTATCACTTACGTGAGGAATCGACTTATGGAGTGCTTAGTTAACATTTTTATTAAATGGCTTCAGGCTACTCCATTTAGCTCTTTTTCTTAAATAAACCTTGTAGAAAATGTTAGGGGATCGCATTTCTTGAATTAGCTGGAGCTGCAAGGAAACTGGGCACTCATGCTCTCAATCATGGGATTTAGCTCTGTCACAACAGTAGAGGCAGGTCGGATAAAGACCCCATGCTCTGGGGTGTTTTGATCATCATTTTGATGAGTATTGCTGCCTTTTAATTATTTAAACTCGTTCTTGGGTAATGTGCTGTTAAACACAGTGGAATAAATTTTATAAAATTAATAGGGTCTAAGTACCAGAAAGACTTCAGCGCTGAAAGCACTCCCCTTTCACATCTTGCTGACAAAGGAGGAAAGGGCAGTACTTTTAGTTTGCTCTGTGAGTGCGTGTGCATGTGAATTATTGGATTACCCGATTAACAAAGAGAGAATTAATGACGTTCTAATCTTCTTGCGTTATTGTTCTTCTGCTCCAAGACTGTGGTGCTGGTTTGACCTTGATTACAAAGCATGTAATGAAAATCCCAGATCTGATCAAATCCCAATAACAGGCTTGGGGAGGAATCGGCTGATCAAGCAGCTCCTCTGTTCCAACAAAGGGAAAGAAGCAGTAAATTGCTTTTCAAGCCTCTTGGTTACGACAGAAAAATAAAAACAAAGCCCAATTTGACATAACTAGAAAATAAACAATGAGGAAAAAGTGACAGCCCAGATTAGAGCTCAGTCTTGGGAGAACCATGTGCAGATTTATCCTCCTGCTTCCCAGGCTGCGAGAGCCTTTGGCAGAGGATCACCCGCCTCGTTTCAGGACGTGGCGGTGCACCAGACTGTTTTGCCACTGAGAAGCTCAGAGTAAAATTTGAGCTTCATTAAAATAAACAGGTTTTGGTATTGCCCAACTCACAGGTCCAGTAGAGACAGATGTTGAGATCGGCAAAATAAATCAAATTTCAGGTTCAGAAACTCATCCCTTGGTCTGATCTTACTGGATCCAACCCTTGTAGTTGTCTGTATAAATTATAAAAACTTGTAAACCAACTTTGCAGGGATTATGGAGAGAACATCGCTTCAACTTTGTGTTTTAGTAAGGAGGACCCATGTAGATGCATTTTCTAACCGCTTTGTCAAAATGGCATCTAATTGATAGGGCTTTTAGTGGGTCCAATTAAGCAGCGCTTTGGGATCGTAATTCCATTTGTGTAAAAGTGATTTTATTCTCAGTTGAATGCGTGAGGTTTCCAAAGCCACATCAGCACCATGTCAGCTCTCATCCCTGGGGCCAGCTCTGTCTGTGGAGGCTATGGGACGGGGACAATTCCCGCTTGGCACAGGGTCCGTTGGGCAGAAGTCTTGACGATGTTTTTAATCACCTTGCCCTGCCAGTCTCAGGCTCTTCAGATCCTCTCAGAAGCCTTGGGGGATACCCAACATTTCCCACTAGTGAGGTCAATGGACTGAAGTGGGAAAATTCGTCTTTTCCTGCAGTTTGGAGTTCAGGAGACTCTTTGTCTCCAATAAATTTCTCACCTCTTTCTGAAACACACACAGCAGCTTGCCAGCACTCTCTTGGTACATTGCAGTAATATTGAGGAAGGGAAGAAACATCCCTAAATTGGGTTGTATGAAACAGCCATAATTCATCCTGTTGCGCTAATGTGCTGTTTTTAAATAGGAAGGGAGACTGGCTGATAGGCAGTGCTGGGAAGATTAGCAATAAACAGCATCAGATCTTTATGCACGCAAATAGCCCTGCCTTCTTTCGTGAGGTGCCGAAAGGGAGTTTGGGGGAACTGTGCCGCTTCGCTTCCCCTGCCGAAGGCACAATTTTTCCCCCGGGGGGCGCCCCGGACCTGCCGCAAGCCTCTGCACCAGATGGCAGCTCCGTGTCAGCTAAAGGCAGGAAAATGCTCCCGACCGGTGTGAGAACCCCATGTGTCGGGCGGGGAGGGCGGCAGCGCTGTCCTGAGCGTCAGGGCATCGCCGCTTCCCACGGCGCTGCCCATCCCAAGAAGCCGGGGGTCCTCCCGGGTGCCCGAGCTGCGCCGCGACTCGGTCAGCTCGGGGCACGCGGTGGCCCCGGCTCCTCCACACCCCACCCTGGCGTTGCGGGAGTTTTGGCCGCGTTGTTTTAGCTTGAAGGCTGTCTGACCAAGGGCTGTGCGGCGATCTCCTTCCTGCAGATTACTCTCACCACCATCGGCTACGGGGACAAGTACCCACAGACCTGGAACGGGCGGCTGCTGGCAGCTACGTTCACGCTCATCGGCGTCTCCTTCTTCGCCCTTCCTGCTGTAAGCGGGGGCTGCAGCGTCTCGCCGGGAGGGGGGCTCAGCTCTGCCGTGCTTTGTCCCCGGCCCCAGGAGCTGGTGGCAACGCAACAGCTATGTCCAGCGGCGTGATGCACCCAGAGACCTCCCGACGGCGACCGCGCCGTGGCTTTTGAGTCAAAAAAAAAAAAAAAGGGAACAAGAGGGGAAGCCATGTCTGAATATCCACAGCTCGGGCACTATGTGTATGGGCAAATGGGATGGAAACTCTAGATTTGGCACTGCACAAATATTTATTGAAGTGAAACCTTTTTTTTTTTCCTGCAAAGGGCTGTTCCTTGGGGTGGTTACTCCATTTCAGCAAGTCACCCCTGTCCTTTTCACAGTGCATTGCAGTGTGTTGCATGGATCTGGTTTTCCCCTATGGGGAAAATTTGCTGAATGCCAGCACGGTGTGGTTATTTTGTATTTTATCAGCCGGCTGGAGGTAGTTTGATAAAAGCAGCAATTCCAGTGAGTGCCAGCAAAGTCCGCTCCCCACTGCTGCCCCTTCATGGGGAGTGTGTCTGCCAGGGCTGCCTTGGATGGAGGCTTCTCCTTCCTTCCCCCATACATTTCAAGCAAAAAAATGAGCCAGAACAAACCTTGGGAGGGAAAATTGGCTGCAATTTTTTAGTGAAAACTTAGCTAACGTCTTGCTAACGGCAAATTTTCGTTCTCTTCCCCAGGGCATCTTGGGTTCGGGGTTTGCTCTGAAGGTTCAAGAGCAGCATCGACAAAAACACTTTGAGAAGAGGCGAAACCCAGCAGCGGGCCTGATTCAGGTGAGGATCACATCCAAGGAGCCTTGGGGTTACATCGTCCTGATTTTGGGGGACTTAATAGACTTCTGGAAGTTGCGGAGGAGACGGGCAGGTGAAAAACGGGGCCGTGTGTGTGAGGTGTGAGACAGCAGCTGGTGACTGGTCTTGTCTGGGAATAAATGCCAGGAAATCAGCCATGGGAAAATAGCATATGTGGTAGGCAATCTGGGGGAGAAAAGGAACGAAATCCAGCCCAGCGCAGCAAGACAAATGCATTAACACAGTCTGTTTTCACCAAACTTTTTCCACCCCCCTCCCAAAGAGAATATTTATACTGATATAAAGTTACAATTGGGAGCATTTTCTTCACCATAGCAGATGTCTGCACAGAAGGCTGGCCTTGGTGATTTGAAATTAGTCATTTGACATTCCCCTGCTCCTCTCTCTCCAAATTTAACTCCCTAATGTGCAACAACACCCGTTTGATACCTGGCCTCACCCCGACAGCGAGTGCCTGGTACCTACAGCACTTTTAGCTGGGCTTAGATGGTCAGGAGTGTCACGGTACCACCCCAAATCTGTCATGTATCAAATCAAGGAAAAGGCAAAATGTCGGACCCATCCCACAGAAAACAGAGGGAGGACTCTGTGTTGGCTGCGGTTTATAAAACCGAGGGTAGAGCTGGCCATGCTTGTGTCCACCATCCCACTGTGCCTCCTCCGCAGGCGGCTTGGAGATTTTATGCCACCAACCTGTCCCGGACGGACCTGCACTCCACCTGGCAGTACTACGAACGCACCGTCACCGTCCCCATGTACAGGTACCTCCTCCTCCACCCCCCTCTTCCACTGCCTTCCTCGTGATGCCGCTGTCTCCATGTTTATTTTTGTTACTTGGATATATAGTTTCATTTATTTATTTACTTTTAGGTTGAAAAAGTTGATTTCAAGAGCTCTTAAGGGCTGGTATATGCTTTTTCTTTTGGAGACTTTTTGCTTTGGTTTTTTGTGTGTGTGTTTCTTTTTGACTTGATTTTAATTTCCTTGTTGTTTGTTTTTTTTTTTTCCTTTTTGTGTCTGTGTGTGTACGTGCTCTTCTTTTCACCTTTATTTCTCCACGTCCGCTGGTAGTTGCGTTGTGTTGTGACAGTTGCCGTGCCCAGGTGTGAAGACCTCCCTCCCGAGCTGCCCTGGATCATAGGTAAATGCTGCCCTCGCCCTGCGTGCAGCTCCTCGCGCCCGCTCGGGCTCTCCTTGCCTCTCCAGCTGGTCTCTAATGGTCCTTCTGCCTTTCAGCAAACTTCTGCCCTCCTTTGACTGGCCCGGCTCTCTCCCCAGGTGCATTTGCCCTGGGGTCCCTCTTTCCTTTCCTTTTTTTTTTTTTTGTTCTCCAAGAGGCGAATTTGGGATTCGGTGAGCATTTTCCCATTTCTTGCGTTTCATTTATCCGTCACGATCTGTTGACACGAGTAGGGAAGGACAGCAGAGCCGTGACGGATGATGCTGATAAAGCACCGCTGTGGTTTAGCAGCATTCATCTGGCTTGCTTTAAGGAGAGGTAACTCTTCATCATACCCAGGCAGCTTTTTCAGCTGAAACAACACAGGTTAGAGCGGTGCTGTGGGAATTCACAGCCTCTTGGGATTTGGGGCTTCATGGAGATGCGGACAGAGTCCCCTGCCATGCCTCGCTGCCCTCCGGGACGTGGGGGAGCACTGCATCCCCCGTGCCACTCTCAGGGTTGGTGGCATCGAGGAGGCGGCTTCCCTGGAAGGTAAAATGCAAAGCGTTGCCGTTCATTTTGGACTTCACACTGCACTGTGTCACAGGCAGGGCCGTGCATCCCTTTCTGGCGTGTTTTTAGAGGCGAGGCAGATCTCTTTGAGCTTGTCCAGGAGTTGGACGTGTTGGTTAGATATTCCTGTAGCTTCGGGGGGTTTTGTTGGGTGCGGTGGGGCTCCCTGTGCCCCGTTTCTCTGCTCCCAACCAGGGCTGTGGTCCAGCACCGCCTTGTGCCGCTGCAGGTGTGAATCCCGTTGTGTTTTCCCGTGTTACTGGTGCCTTTTAGCCCTCGGGCAGACAATCTGGATATATTTCCTAGGGTAAGCATTAGCCTGTATTTGAAACAGAGCGGCCAGCCTGTTAAACCATCTTAAAAACCTGTTGGAAGTCACGTTGTCGTGGTCAGTAAGTTTTCTTTGGATTCATTCCCAGTGTGTGTCTGATCGGTTGCTTTTTCCCCCTAGAGATTTGTGAACCAACTAAAAGATTTTGCTTCAAAAAAACCCAAACTAACAACCCAACAAAATGGAGCAAAACTGTTTTCCAATAGCATTAAACCCACCCCACATCAACACTCTCCCTCCCAGTATTTGACCTTCTCGCTGTACATTTGCAGCACTGGCTGAGATCAGCTACTGGAGAGGATGAGGACTGGAGCCTGGTCCAAAGTCCGCTGCAAAACGCAGAAAGCCAGGGGCTGATTTCAGTGGACTTTGTCAGGTTTTACTGCTGTTTGAAAGACTGAACTTACCACGCGGCCAGACATACAGTGACACCCTTTTGCGTGAGGACATACTGGGGTAACTACTTGCTGCTTAATCCGCTTGTTAAAGCCTGCGTTTCCCATGGAGCTAATACATGGAAGAAAACTAAGCTCAACAGCTCCAGAAGAGGCTAAATACAAACTTTGGGGATGAGAAAGAGCAAAGATGTAGTTCAATGAAGAGCCCAGCTATCTTGAATAAAAAGGCAAGAAAAAGTCGTAGCAGGGTCGTAGCAGTTTTGCTGGCTGATGCTGCGGGTGCTGCTCCCAGTGCCAGCCCCGAGCAGCAGCGTCACCCTGGCCTTCCCTGGGCACAGGTTTCTGCTCTCCCAGCTTCACCCTTAAATCCCAGCTCCTGTCTGTGCGCAGGCGAAGTGAACATCACCTGGGAGAGTGAGCCGTGGGTGCACCGATGGATTCAGCTGTTAGTCAAATTGAATTTTTTACCAAGAAAGCAGTGAACGTCTTTTGAATGTATTTTAGATGCAGTCAAATTAATTGGAAAAAAAAAAGAAAAATAAAAAAGGGGGTAACTGTATGTTCTGGCTGCAGCTTCCATCACTCTCACTGTCCATCTCTCCTCGTCTACCCACTTCACTAAGCCAGCTGGAGGGCACTGGCAGCCCTGCGCTGGTGCAGCCTCAGCAGCACGTCAAGCCCAGCACCGCATTAAGGCCATGGCTGCTGACATGCGGCTGAAATGCACGACGTGGTTAGGAAGTGGGTTGGAGGAACACGATATCCCCGTCTCCCGGTGCCTGGGGGTGATCTACAGTCACCGCTACCTTGGCACCCTTTCTGCTCAACACTGGGCTGCTTATTCCTCCATAGAGGGAGCCCTGTGACTTGAGCTTGCCTGTCTTCCCAAGGCATCTCCAAAAAGACCAGCTGCTTGATATGAGAAAATTGTTGCACATGCCTTGGAGAGGAGTTCATGTGTCTCCAGAACAGCACTGAAATCACTGCAGTAGAGCTAGTCTCACTGGTTTGGGGAAAATATGGTGGCCTCTGCGAGTCGCTTAGATTTCATCTTTAAATTCAAAATGTGGTAGAACCAAATCTGAAATATGCACAAGGCTCCTGTACGTGCAGGTGTGGTTTGGGCTTGTAACGCTTGCATAGCTTGCTGTGCCCAGACACCATAACCTGTGCATCAACCACTGCATTTGCTGGAAAAAAAAAAAAAAATCTGCTCTTTATTGTCACTCATGAGAACATGGCCTTGATCTGATCTATATTCATATATTGGCCTTAAAAAAAAAAAAAAAAGCCACTAGCACATCATGCCCAAGTCAGCAGCCCAGTCTGAGGAGTCTCGGGCTGGTGGGACCGAGGGCTGCGAATGTCTCACAAAAGGTCTCCTGGAGGCCCCCGCATTTTCCCCGCTCTGTGGTGCCCGTTTGCTTTCGGAGCAAGGTGCCAGCTGCCTGTCCCCGAGGGTGACGTGGGTGCGCGGTGGCTTCTGAGCGAGCTCAGCCCGCGCTCCCGTGCTCACCTGTAAGCCTGGCCACAGTGCATCTGCTCCCGGGGATACACTTCGTTCACATGCTAATTTTCTTTATCCTGTTTCTTTTCCCCTTTCCTCCACCCCACCTTCCCCCCCCTCTGTTTTTCTTTCTCTTATCCCTTTGGTTTTCTTTGGTGAAAACACTTGAAAAGCACGCAAACGCAAACGTACGGTGCCTCCAGGTATGAAGTGCATGTGACTCTGAAACTGTGTGTCATGTCACTCCTTGTTCTTTGTTTGGGACTGTAACGTGCAAAGCCTTTAATTAAAAAAAAAAAAAAAAAGAGGGGAATAAAAGAAACTTCTGAAGATCAGTTTTTTCAAAGGAATGAGTGAAAGCCCAAACCAGACTCCTCATCTTGCTGCCTACAGACTAACTCCATGCGCCTCCATGTACATTTTAGCTTTTGGTACACACAAGTGTTGGGAAACTGTCTGTCAAATGACGATCTCAGGAAGGAGAATGGGAGACTGCTTGATAAGCTTGCTTTTTTTAAGGATGATTTCTTGATGGTCTTACCAACCTGCTCCAATTCATACAACGCTTAGCAAGAAAAATTCCCTGTTCATATTTCCATTTTTCCCTTTGCCATCGCTCCTGCGTGTTCCCCTTTCTCCAGCCCCCTTTTCCCATCCTTCATTGTGCCATTTCTCCCACTTCACGCTGTAGGAAGTACCTCGCCAGGTAACACCAGGTTTGCTGAATTTGCTGGTGTGGTGGCACTGTGGGGACGCATCAGTGGTGGCACAGAATAAAATCCCAGTAGCAGCTGGGCCGGCTTTTGAGGCCAATGTCTGGAGGAGAGATCCATCTGGAATGCTAAACTGAAATGGTCATTTATTTCTTCTAGTAATCCAGTCTGATTTGGGGGAAAGGGATGTCCCATCTCAGCAGCACTTTAGCATTTCAGTTTTTTCTTCTAAGACTGACCTAGAGACAAGCAGCTATTAGCCCCGGTTATTCAGTCTGGGACTTAACCTTTTGGGATCAATCCAAATGCAAAGACCTGTATATGGCTGCATGAGATTTATGATCATAGAATCATAGATAATATTATCTCAGGTTCTGCAGAAAAGAGTAGATTTTCAAATCACGGGCATATTTTATATGAGGTGGGTATCTGAAGGTGTAGTCAAGTCAATATTTTAAGATGGGGAATAAGTGGCTTGCATTTTAAGACTGTGGGCCAAGCTCTGTTCTTAGAGCAGTTTAAATCCTCACTAGCTGCATTAATGCTCTTAGAGCCGATGTGATTTAGTGCTTGATTTCCAAACCTGGTTCCAGTTTTCACAGATGCAAGTTTTACAGCCTTAGTAAATCACACTTACCACTTCGTGTGGTTAATTTACAGCAAGTTGCCTCAATGAATTGCAAGTATAATATTATGAATGCATTTTCCTGTTGTGCTGAACAACTGTCTGTTTTGAGAATTGGGTGTTTTTCTACTGCTGGGAGTGAAATCAGAATGTGCCACTTCCATCCCATTTCAATCCCATAAAATATTTTATAAGTTTCATAAATGTTCTCAGCTATGAAATATAGCTTAGGCTGGAGACACAAAGTCATGGTTAGGGTAAAAATTGGCTCCTTATAGGAACTCCAACGCAGCATGGAGACTCATTTAAGTGCCCATCCCATTCCAGCATTCATCTCCTTGTCACCCTCTTCCTAAGTGTTCATACCGGGCCTGTTCAAAAAAATCATCATCGTCTCTGTGTGCGTGCGTGTCGTGGTGCGCGTGTTTTGTGTGCGCTCCCACCCTCTGTTATGTGCTGCTGTCCTCCTTGTGTTGTGGGTTTTTGATGATGTCCTGGCCGGAGGCATGATATCCCTACTGTCCCCAGATGCTTGAACGTTATCTGTGCTACTAGGAATAGCAAATTTGCCTTCCCTTTGGACGGGGGAGCCGGCACCTGGAGTTAGTGCGGCGTTTCTCTGTGCTGTACTGGGAGGGGTGATGGGAAGCAGCTGTAGGCACCGCTGGGTCCCCTCAGCAGCGGCGACTCGGAGGTGTTGCTGTGGTGGGTAGCATGAGCTGTGTGTGTTCCTGTGGTGTGCAGATCTTCTCACCTGGCTCCCCTCTAACCGAAACGTGCTTCCCTTGCTAACAAGTGACACACGGACCAGGAGGAGAGAGAGAAAACGTGAGATGCCCCAGCCGGAGGTCCTTTCTCCACATCTCTGGAGGACACAGTGGCACCTGTGTCACCTGCCCCTGGGCACGCACACCAGTGCAGGGTGCCCTCCATCCAGCACTTTATAGCAAAGCTCAGTGAAAGTGCTGTGCAGAGCCCTGCCTTTTCTTTGAGGTTCTGGTGAAATAGTGCAATGCAGGAGCTGTTCCCCAAGCTGCTCTTGTAATGACAGGTTAGGCTGACATTCAATTCGGATTAAATTTCAGGTCAAGTACGTGGCTGAGTTTATACCCATTTTTTAATAATTATAGTTTCAGTAAAATATTATTTTTTCCACCACACGTGTACCAGACCCATCACCCTACCACAGAAACAGTGAATTTCTGTGTTTTCTTGTGTGTCTTTACCTTTGCATGGAAGCATCTGCGGTGGCCCAAGAGATTGTCACCTTCAGCATGGTGTAAACCTTGTGTTATGGGCTAATGCAAAGGAAGGAGCTCATTTTGGCATCCTGAATCCTTCAATCTAGTGAGCTAATGAGCTCTCCAGCTCTGAGACTTGTATCGGTGGGAGCCATGGATTTGTGATCCCAGCTGGAGGAACTGGGGCTGTTGTCCTATGTTCTGCTGGGTATGGACCTCCCTGAGAAACTAACTCACCAAAGAACAGTCGTGCACCCTTCATTAACTACTAAGCATGCTTTGTGCTTGATTTTATGCACCATCTTCTCCCATCTTGGAACCCCCCTAGGGTGGGTTTGAACGCAGGTGACAGCCCAGCACTTGTGCACTGCTCCACTGCACCAAGGTCAGCTTCTTCCTGACATCCCGAGTGAAGAGGATCATTAATTCATCAGATCAGGATGTGCTCTTCTCTGGATGGAAGCGAACAGAGCTGGACTGGGGAGCCGAGCCAACATTTTCAGGCCTATTTTTATTCTTTTCTCCATACTTAGGATTGGAAAATTTTCCAGTTGCCTCAATCTTGTGAACACCAAATCTGCTCTGCTGAACAACTGTGGTTTTGAGGATGAGTTTTGTGCATGCAGAGGAGAGGCTTTTCCAGTTCTGGGGTTTTTTTTTTTGTCAGTTAGAGGAAAGCTGTGCAAATATTGGTCTCATAATGGCTGAAAAAATGTGGGCATAAATACCTCTGCCTTTATTTTACAGTAAGCAACAGGCCCATTTCTTACAGCACCTCAGCTGAGACCAGCCTGTTAGGGGAGCGCAAGCCCTTGCATCCCTTCCAGTCCTAAGATGCGGTTTGGGGACAGTTTGAGTAGGTCCTTCTTGCTTTCATTAAAACCTACGTGGTTAATTTGCCAGCAAAGCCATAAGTATATGCTGCCTTGGGGCTGTGGCTCTTTGGGCTGTGGCCCCAATGGCGCAGACACGGGCAGCTGCAGCCCCTTGTCCTCCCCTTCGTCCCCGCAACGATGCATCCTCCCGCTCGCTTGTCACAAGCGCGACCGGAGGCGGCTGCTGTGCTGACTTTGCACCCTCTGGGCACAGTGATGGCACGTGGTGCTTGGACGGTTTGACAAGGGCACGCTGGTGGCCCAGAAAGGAGTTTGCAGCAAGCCATGGGATGAGCCCCATTGGCCTTGACCCCAAATGCAGAGTCCCAAGCGCGCTCTTAAGTAGATGCTGCTCTTCCCAACCATGCGCAGCGTTCTCCATCCTCCCCCCGACACCTCCAGCTCACATCTTTCTTGGTTGAACAGCTGACTGAATATCAACGTTAAACATGTATGGAGCAAGCTCCAGTCTCCCCGGGTCTGAGGGAAGAAACCAAAAGTGGATGTGGGAGCTAATTCAGTGGCTTTTAGCACAAAAGCAGGATAAGCAACAGGGTGTTTGTTCGTTGTTTTTTTTAATTATTAACCAGGATTCCCGCTGTCAGGTTCTTTTTCTTCCTGAGGAAGGAAGGAAACCCATGGTTCCTAGGAGGCAGTGATGCATGAGTTTCCCTCATTTTGGAGCAACACCTGACATGGACAGTAGGGAATTGGTTAAACTTGACCCCGGAGCGCACTGCTGTTTCTCCTGGGATGCTCCTACCCTCGTGTCCCAATTTCCTCTGCCCCATAAGCTGCTCCTTCCCTTGCCTCCCTACATTCCCAAGAGCAGCAGGGTTGAGTTTTCCCATTTGCCTCTGAAACTGGAGTTTCTCTCCACCTAATACACAGCTGAAGTGCTGATCTCCAAACGTAGCAATGCCAACTGCTAGACGACCCGTGGTGAAACAGCTCTCCTGCCAAAACACCACCATGCTGCTCAATCCCTGGCAGCCACTTGTTTTTTGGGAGGTTCAAAACCCGGTGGTGCAGACAATTTTCTCTCTCTCTCTTGCTGTCGCTCTCTCTTCCCCTACTGCTCTGCCTTAGGACACTGTTGGAAGTAGCAGCCAAGCCCCTCTCCATCCTTCCCAAGCTGTCTCCTAGTTGCAGCTGGTGGCACAAAGCTGGTTTTAGTTGAAAGGATGGGGCAGCGGGGAAAGTTTCCAAGACAGGAGGCTCTGAAGTCAGCGCTGCCTGAATATTAATGGTTTTTATTTTCTCCCTCTAGACTCATCCCTCCTCTGAACCAGCTGGAGCTCCTGAGGAACCTGAAGAGCAAATCGGGACTGACATTCAGGTTAGCAGCAGAGTTAAGAGAGCTTGGAAAGCACACACTTTGCAACCTTTTCCTTTTTTTTTTTTTCCTTTTTTTTTCTTTTGTTTTTTTCCTTCCTGCCTTTTGCATATGGACAGCCTTGAAGATGTGAGAAGTTTTGGCAGCTGGTCCCCCATGGGTTGTTCAGTGACCTCCTCCCCATCCCTCTCCCATGCTGTACCTGAATTTCTTCAGCCTAACTTGGCTCTGGAGTTATATTACAGTGCTTGGCTGAAAATGCAGTCATGTTTTCAAAGGGTCTGATCAAGGTAGTGTCCTCAGTTTTCCTCTGACCTTTCTGCTCTTCACCACCCTCAGAGGAGACTCAGGCCCATGATGTGTTAATTAATTCCCCATTCCCTCCAGCCTTCCCTCGCCTCTCCTGAGAGCAGGCAAGGTCGTAGCAGTGAGAAATTTTTGCTAAATCTGCTATGGCAAGGTATACATGGTTGCCCTAGAAGGCCAGGGGTCCTGCAGCTTAAATGTATGCTCGGGAGGGGTAATTCTTGGTTTTTTAGGCAGGTGAGGTTGCCCTGTTTGGTGAACAGGGAGTGTGCAGACCCCAGGAGGGATGGAGAGATGCTGGCCATGCCGGTGGGCATGGGGGCCAGCTGGGGAAGGGTGGGATGGGACCTGCCCTGGGCTGTGTGTCTCTGCAGAGAGTAGAGATCTGTAGACCCATGAGTCAGACTGCAAACTTCAAAATGTATTTGAGCTAGTGACTGAGGCTGGGCTTCCAAACTTGTCTGAGGACGGAGCAGAGGGTGGAGGGGCATTTTTTTAGTCCCTCCAGGCTGCTGCCTTCAGCCTAAGGGAGAGGGGTTGGGGTCTGTGCAGATCTCGGCGTCTCAGCGGTCACTGCTGCATGGAGGCAGGGCCAGGGCTGGTACAGCATCATGCTCAGAGGGAATCGAGCTGCTCCTGCCTGGGTCTTCTCACAGTCCGGTTTGTCCCTTAGACTGTCTGGTGTTAGGGGAGGCAGACCCTTATCTGCTGAGAAGCACAGTCTGCTCCCTCTCTTGTGGGGCTGCAGGGGCAAGGCTGCTTCGGGGCCCCAGATTAAATGCAATTTCCCAGCGTGAAGAAGCTGTGAATCAGAGTAGTTGAAGGCAGAGCAAGTTTTCCTCGTGGCTGGAGGGAAATGCCACCAAGATGCCTGGTCAGTGAAGGTGAGAGATTTTTTTTCAGTGTGGCCTTAGCTTGGCTTGCAGTGTTATGCCTACCCTTTTGCAGGTGCTCAGCTCACTTTGTCCTCAATGTCAAAAGATTTTTCAGGGCAATCAAGTGGTTTGGGATCTCGGTAGGAAACCACATACAAAAATTGTGGCATCCCACTCCCTCCATGTAGCCTTTGCCAACTGCTTTGGCAAAGTGGCTGCCAAAGGCTTTGGAGGCAGAAATCCCACTGCGGGGTCAGGGTGTCAGGGCAGGGGTCCATACTCCTTCCCGCCGCTGTCCTCCTCCCAGCACCACGCGTTAGCACTGCGGCGTGAAGCCGTGCGTCAAGAGATCTGACATTAGCTCTGTCCCAGAGGCCAGGAAGGAAAAGCAAATGCACCAGGGTTACGGGAGCCGTTCACATCCTTCCCTACGTGCAGGGACAGCTCAGGGCGGTGCATTTCCAAATGAAGGGGGCCGCTCTCTGAGCCCACAGAAGTCCTCCTGTGCTCACGCAAATCACACGACCGTCAGGTGTCTCAGTCGTGCATAGGCACGAGGATGGGTTGGGATAAACTCTTCAACCCTGTGCGTTGTATGTGTCTTCTCTGAGGTTGTGTGAGTCTCCAGTGATCTTCTGCCCCGGCCAGAAAGTCCAGGAATTAAGTACTCCTTTCCCTTTCTTCTGTCCACAACTTCCACTTAGTTGTATTGTTTGGTATTGTCCTTTCGTTATGTTTTAACAGTGAAGCAGCAACATCTTTTGCCACCTGACACCATGCTAATGTACTATTGCTTCTGTTTAAAGGAAAGAGCAGCAGCCCGAACCATCGCCAAGGTCTGTATCACTGCCAACACGCCATTCCCATGCATTACCCGTAGATTTCTATGTACGTGTGTGCGTGTGTGTACCATGTCGTGGCGCCATCGAGGGAAGCATTCTAGGTATTAACGTGCTTTTTCTGTGCTGTGGCAGTCCAATGTATTTACGTGTATGCTGGACCTTAAATCATATCTTCCTTCCAGTCTGCCTCGGGCTGTAGCTGCGAGGATAGCGAGGCTGTGGGGCTAGAGAGAGCGGTGGGCAGCGTGGGCAGAGCTGGCAGACACTTACCCGGGGCAACAGCAGGGCTTTGGTTCATGCTGCTTTTTTTTTTTTTCTTTTGTTGCTGGAGTCGTAGCTGAAACAGAATAACGCAGGCTCAGTGAGTGCCGATGGGTAGGTGATGCTTTGCCTATGTCTCCATCACCCCGACGCCGTGCCAGGCAGAGGTGACATGGGAACATGAAGCCATCACCGTGCCACCAAGTTAGCAACTTCTCCTGAGCTCCTCTCGCTGCAGGGCACTGCACGGGGCTGCGTGGACCTGCCGCTCCATGGGACACAGGAGGGCTCTCTGACACGGCACAACGTTGCATGGCAGAGACACCCTTTCTCCACCCCGGTCCCTTTGGCCTCGTAACCTCTGGATGAAGCACAGTCCCTGCTCCGTCTTCCCTCCACGCCTCGAGTCCACCGTGCAGAGCGTGCTCAGCCGGGCGCCCTCTGAGACGTGGCGAGCACCTTCCAAGGCCAGCCATAAATCTTACCTACGGGAGAGCTTTTCTCTATTCACATGTCCCAGGGAAAGCAACAGGGCTGGTATTTGGGATACTTTTAGGATACTTTTCATCCCCTTAGAAGTATTTAATTCTGGGATATTTTTTTTCCCCTGTATTTTCCCAGTTCTTTTATGTAGTAGTTCTGGGACTGAATCTCATTATTTTTTCTTGGTAGGCAAGATGCAAAACTGATGATCTGTGGAGGTCATCTGCTTGGCTTTCAGATCTTCCATCTCATAGCTCAAAACGTAGCTTACAGCCTAAATACTGTAAACACTGAATATGTTTTTCAGAAGTATAACTAGAGCCTGGCGTTTTGCAGGTGTAACTTTCTGCTGTGCCTTTTAGCTTATAAGAGGCCAGAAGCTATTTTTCCCTGGCATAAAATCCAACCAAAGGTAACTGGGTAGATATGGTGCTGACTAAAGTGAGGAAAATTTCATCCTTCCTTCCTTTCCCCTCAGCTCTTTTTTTCTGTCTTTCATTTGAGCTTTTCTTTGCAAGCAGAACCTCTGTAACACTCCATCCACTTTCCTGCCAAATACACCAAATCTCCAAGATCATGTTTCAACTATCCAGATTTTTTCTTTCTTTTTTTTTTTTTTTTTTTCCTGCTTGGGGTCTCAGCCTGTGTAGCTAGAGCAAAGGCAGCTCCATTCGGCTTTAAAGCAGGGAGCATTACGTGGGAAGTGTTCTCTGGGAGCAGACCAAGGCTGAAATCTTGGCCACCCACCTGTGGCATCAGGAGGGTCAGCATTTCATCCCAAGGGCCCGGCTGCTCTGCTGCCCTGTCTCAGCCAGTGACATACTTCGGATGCATCAAAGGGTAAATCCACATTTCTCACAGGCATACGACAGTGCAATGAGATGAAATCTCTGTTCAACCCCATCAGCTCCATAGACGACGAAACCTGAGGACCGATGGTTCCTCGTAGGGTCACACCAGCCAGCATCCCTGCAATCGCAGGCACTAGTCTTATTGCTGAGGCACTAGTCTTATTTCTTATTTTTGAATCTCAGTCCCATCTTGCAGGGTTCATTGTCACCAGTTAAAACACTCGGTTGGATATAATATTTCTTGTAGAGGTTGCAGGTTTTTCCCTTTTCATTTTCTACATCGCTTTCTTAATCTTATGTCACAGAAAGTGACAGAAAGTAAAAATAGCCTTTCACTGCCCCTTTTCTGGGTATTTTTTACATTATATAGCTCCTTCATCAGGGTCATTTCCAAATGTTGCTTTCCTGCTCCTGCAGTGTATCTGTCTCTTGTGACACTGATGGGTTTTGTTGCCCTCATAAGATGCTAAATGTGAACCCAGGGGTGCTTAAACTGAGGGTCTGCAGCTGCCGTGTGTATGGCATTAGGATACTTCCCATATTGTTTAGTTCAGCTGCCATAGCAGAACCAAAGCTTTTTCCTTCTGCGTTTTGTTAGGGCAATATCAATTTTACCTGCTCCCACTGCCTCGTTCCGTCTGGTTATGTCTCAGACCTCAGGAAGGAATTTTGCACAGTAGTCCCTACCTTCAGGGGGACCCAAATCACCTGTTTTCCCAAATAAAGGTTTCTGGATCTTTTACATTCACATCCCAAATCTCCCACCTGCTTTAATTTCCAACAGCCTCCCAGTGATGCTCGGTGTGTCATCCTGCCCTTAGAAAAGAAAACTCATCCTGTTTCTCAGCCCACCCGCCAGTTAATCATCCAGCCGCGGTCTGTCACTGATGACTGTTTCACTTAGGAAACTCCTCGGGATGAATCGTCTCTCATAGCAGACCCCAGCACCACACTTTTACTGCTTCGGCTGGTAAAGGATTTGCCCCTTTCCATTTCCATCGATGCAGGGGAACATACAGTCTCTCATCTGGAGCTAGCTGGATCTTCCTCCTGTTGTAGTGATGTGTAGGGAGTGGCTGATTTCCTATATCCCTCTTTCCATAACTGATACACCACAAAGTCCTTAGAGCAAACAGAACAGAAACACATTTTTCACCATTTTGCATCTTAATATATTTTAAGTTAGAGAAGGGATGCTGGCATGGCTCGTGGGAACGCGCTGTGCAAGACAAACATTGCCTTGCAAGGTCAGGGAGCATCCCAAACGCCCCGCCGGTGCACGGGGCAGCCTGTGGGGTCTTGCCCATGCACCAGTGGCGATGCTGCCCTCTGACTGCGGCGCTGCTGTAGCCGTGCTGATTTCTGCCGAGACGGCACTCGGAGAGCTGCTGCCCGGGGTGGGAGGACATGGGGAGGCGATGGGGTCAGTGTGGCGGAGGCTCGGGGTCACCTGGAATTGCTCGGGTGGCTTTCGATTGGGTCTTTGCGTAAAACGGACAGCCGATCTGAGACAGGTTACGTCCTTTCTCTATCGCTTCTGTTTTGTTTTTCACTGCGAGCTTGTCTTCATCCATCTGTGACTGAGTGCCAGGAAGCTGTGTGCTGGCCTGTGCGGGGGGACGGGAGCTCACCTCCCCGTGACATGGAGCCCAGCCTGTGATGAGCAGAAAAGATGCTGGCCTTTTTCTACATGCTACGTACCTCTTCCCCCGCCTTTTTGTTTTCCTTCCTATTTAAAAACTGCTCACTGAGCCTCCTCTGTTGCCCGTCGCTTTGGGCCCTGTGTCCACCCTACCATCTGCCTTGGCCAGGAGAAGCGGCTCTCTGCCCTTCCGCGGGCTGCCTGCTGCTGCAGGAGCAGTTAGCGCCGATCACGCCTCCGAGACCACGCTGCTCTCCTGCAGGGTCCAAATACGAGTGCTCTCTGCCTCATAACACCAGGGAAGGAGGACTGCTCTGTGGTGGGGCTTTTCTCACCCCTCCTGCTGCAGAAAGCCAGCAAATCAGAGTGGTAACAGGGTTTGATTACTCCTATGTTAATCAGGCTGGAAATTTGCTGTGGCATCTCATCTCTGTTTATTTTGTCTTCTGATTGTAATGTCAAAAAGATGAACATATGGTTAGCCAGGACTATGGAGGCTCCTATATGAAATGTGTGCTTCAGATGCTCTTTAACAGATGGTTTGATAAACATCTGAAGGCATCCATGACCACATTTCTTCCTCTTGTATTTTCCAAAATATGATTGGGTGAAAAGCTAAAAAAAAAAAAAGATGAACCAAGTGATCATGATAATACATGAATATCAGAGAAAAAGAAACAGAAGGATTCCAGGGAAGTGGGAAGCTAAAACTCAGATTACTTTGTCCAGCATGAGTTCAGTCCTGTAGGTGATGAGGAACCTCTTTGGAAGGTTGTCCTCAGCTGTGGTTTGTCCTTGACCGTAATGAACTCAGCAAGACCTTGGCTGTTATACTGAGTGAATGCTGGACTGGGCCACCTTGTAATGTGTATGTATATCTGTGCGTATATCTATCTCTATATCAGTGTATGTATATGTCTGTCTGAGATACACACAACATCAATATCTCTGTTCAGGGGTGTGATTAAGGCTTTTGTACGCACTGGAGGATGCCTCTGGTTGACTCAGTGGGCCCCTGCTCATCCAGCCTAGGGTGTCCGAGGTGTCACTAATCACTACTGCCCGTGGAAATCAGTGTCAATCACTGGAGCCCGGTGGGCCACGTTAGCCTGGGTTGGCGTTTGACCTTCTAACCAATTAAACTGGTGTCAGAGACTCATGCTGGGACTGACAGTAATCTGGAAATAATCAGTTGCCTTGAGGGGAGCGGATTATTTGCACGGAAGGGACCGCATCTTTCCGTAGGGACTGCAGAGGAGACTAAGAGGAGAGTAACCCACGTGTCTCCCTGAGACTCTGCATGCTGAATATCCCATTCCCATGCCGCAATGCTCAGACCCTGGCTCCAGAACAGCCCCGGTAGCACCACCGGTCCCCGGGGCTCCCTAGGGATGCGGGGTCCCGTTGCGGGTGCCTAGGGAGTCCCCAGGATGCCGAGGGTGGCGTCGGCTGAGCTTGCACGGGATGCCGCGAAGCAGAAAGAATTCCTGCAAATTCCTTCTGTGTGTGCCCGCGAGCTCCTCCGATTGCCGAGCTCAAGTGTAAAACAAGACTGGGTTTTCACGCCCTTCAGCCTTTTCAGCCTGTCCGTGAACTCAGCAGGTGATGCCCACCGGTGGCCAGGTTGGGGTGTTGGGGCCACATCATTACCCTTCCGCAGGTAGAGGGCTGCTCCATGGCGTGGAGGACGCTGGTGGTGGTGGCAATCTCCTGGCAGGGCAGTGCCTGAGCAGCACTTTGGGATGGGCTCACGGGAGCCGTGGTGGTGCCTCAGCAAAGCCAGTGACTCCCCAGAAGTGGTAGGGCCTGTCTAAAAAGCGTTAGGAAAACCAGATGCGTGAACACAGATGCTCAAATCCCTTCCCAGAAGGGACTGCACCACACCCCGTTTTTATCTATTTTTATTTTTTTTAAATGCCAGGCTTAATGCAATGCTATTTCCTGTATGACAAGTGCAAATAATTCACAGATTAACTAGCTCACTTTGTGAGGTTTTTTTTTTAAAAAAAAAAAAAAAAGAAGAAATTTTAACTTTTTGGATGTTGTTGGACAAAACAAGTTAAAGTTTTGGCTCTCCGTGGCTTAGACAATTAAAAAATTGTCTTTTTTATCTGTTTAGAGGAAGAAGAGAGTACTTTTTGTTTCCAATGCAGATGAAAAAAATCTTCTTGCAAGACTCAGTCAACTGTAGATAAACTAATGCCACCAATTAAATGCAGAATACGTCATTTCTAATAATGACATTTATTGACCGCAGTGAGACAAATTTCAGAAACCCTCTTGTTTTTTGTTTTTTTTTTTTTTTTTCACTTAACGCTCAAACAGAAAAATCCTGTCATGAACCCGGCCCTCAAAACACTTGTCTTTAAACCTAGAGTCAGTAATCAAAAGTTTCCTGTCTGGCATTTGCTTCCAGGTCTAATTTTTACTCTCCCCTCATTTCCAGTAAAAGCAAACCGTGCAGAGAGTCACTATGCGGATGCTGCTCAGGAAACTCTAGGTACCACGGGAAATGCGTCGCACGGAACTAATCAAAAGCTGCACGGCTCATTCTCCCTCTACCCTGCTACCACCCGTTCTGATCACTTCTCTGCTTAATAGAGGTACTAGATGAGTAAAAACAGGTGAAAGAGCCTCCCCATTGCCCGCTCAGAAATTAGAGGCTTCCTTGTCTGCTAATCATGCAGAATATGTGATTCAAAGAGACGAGGATGGGGAATTTGGTCTGGGCTAGCAAGCCAGTGTCTGCTCAGCAATGAAGGAGGCCAGGAACTGAAGTTTAACAAATGATGGAAAATTTTACAATAAAAAATTTTAAAATTAAAAAAAAAAAGATTTTTTAAAAAGGCCCCTTCTTCCCTATTGCTCCATGCCTCCTCAAGGTCCAGGGAATCCTTGCAAATTGAATTGCACTGTACAGCAATATCAAGTTAGTAGCATGAGAAATACCAGCTTACTACCTCTGCTCAATCACCGTTCCTTTGGCTCTCTGAACACTACAAATTGACCTTTCCTAGTCTTGTGGCCTTTGGAAGCCATGGCTTGCCTATCTAGCACCTCTACTACGCAGCTAGAGAAGGACTAATCTCAGCCTGTCCCACCAGACGTAGGGGATATGGGTTCCCCTTAGCGTTGACATTGGCATTGTGAATGGTTCTGTTTCTAGATGCCGTGGGGAACAGATAGCTAGAGCAGAGGGTTTCGTACGAGCAGTGTTTTTATCTCTTTCATCAAGCTGGCGATTGTTAGGCGGCTTCAGAGAACTCCCAACGAGCATCCCTTAGTGCACCCATCTAACAGCCGTAAGGGTACCCAGATATACATATATCTTATTTTACTTATGCATAAATACATCTACTTCCACGCCTGCACTGGAAGAGTCTCTTCCCCCCGCTCCAGACACTGCTTCTCAGCAGCAAACATGCACCTTCTTGAATTACCAATGCCCAGAGTTTGCATGCTGTGAATGCTGGCAGGTGAACCCCATCAGCTCTTCCTCCCGCAGCCAGGCAGGTGGAAAGCCCAGGAGTGGCAGGGCACTGAGTGATGCCGCATGTCTGTGAAATCGGATTTTTGCATGCTCTTTTTTGGAGTCCGTTTTAATTCTCAAAATCACCAGTCTCTGTCTCCCTCAGAAAGCCAACAAACTACAGTTTTAAAAGTATAAAACTACAGTTTTAAAAGTATATGTATCTCTGATTTTCTCCATTAATTGTTCCAACTTGTATCTTTTCTTTTCTTGCTATTTTTTTCCCTGCTGGCTATTTTTATTATCTGTCAGACTAGAGGCTAAGAGTCATGCCTGAGACTTGCGTGTACCAGAAGCTCAGAAGTAGCGTGGTAAATCCCATCTCTGAATGGGTAACAAAGAGGAAGGGGGCATGATCTAGATTTCATAATAAGCAGTTCTCCACGGTAGGAAATCCCCTGTACCTGGAGAAAAGGCCTGAGTCTTTGAGCTAGCCTCCTCCACGTGTTTTGACGGTACAGTGGCCTTCCTTGAAGTTTACCCTTGAAAGAACTGGTTTAAATATTGGGTGATCGTCAGTTGCACAGGCAGCATTTCAATACATTTCCAAATAGCAAAGATTTGGTCAATAGTCGTAACTGAAAAAAAATACTGTTACTTTTATAGTGTTTCCACTTGCCAGGTGAGGTTGTTTTATCCTCAGAGGCGGAGGCGTAGTACAGGCAGGGACTCCTCCCCAGAGAAAGGCTCCTTTCGATTGCTTAACGTTGAGGTTGCTTTTGGCAGAGATTAAAACAAGCGGTGATATTCATAGTGCTGTCCTCTCACCTGTCCATGTCCAGTTCTGTTTTCTGGAAAATCAGCCACTCTGATCTTAGTGTCTTCCTTGCATGTCTTCCTAGGCATGAATTTTTAATTGGTAAAGCCAGTATAGTTTTTTCTGTTTTCTACTGAATTCCTTCCCACTGTGGTCCTCATTTCATCTCCCCCATCTTGAGTTCTGCAAGGGAAAGGGAGGATGAAACAAATTATTATCTCAAGATCTTCTTAATCCATTGGAGACCCTGAGAAGGAGGATTACAGACTGTGGTTCTTCCAGCCAAAAAGGAGTCTTGAACTTTGGAGTAGCTACAAGGGCATCTTTGTTACCTACATCCATCCTGAATGTAGTGTTACACACACTGTGCTTTAGTAAACCTATAGGTTAACTGTGAAGGGACATAAAAATAATTCAAATATCTTGTTTTCCTGGACCCTTGGGCTGCCTGCCCGCAATCCCCCACTGCACAAACTCCTAGGGGCAGATGCCAGCACTTTGATGCATCTAAGGCTGAGCGCTAAAAGCCTTCGTCTAGGATGCATATAACGAAATAACAGTGAGCGATGAGGCAATCATGGAAAACTCAATGTAGGTAAATTAATGGCAAACTCCTTAGAAGCTGTGGTTTCTTAATGTACTAAACCAATGATCTCTAGTCAATAAATGCAAAATGCATGCATTTTTAGGCAGTAGTGTAACTATACCGAGCCAGATTAGCAAGTCTATCATATTCTGCTTTGTAAGAGACTTCCCTGGCATCTACTCAGAGAGATGAAGGCACCACAGAGACCTGGCAGTGGGAAGAAATGGCACACACACCAGTGAAGGAAAGGTGCTTGCAGAGCCCTTGACTGGCCTGCAGGTCTGGGTGTAGCGTGTTTCTTAAAGTCTTGTTTAGGAATAATTAGCCAGCTCGAAAATGCAATCTAGCTGTTTTACTTTGCTCCTGCAATGCAAAACAGCTGAGCTGGCAACTGGCAAAAGATTGCTAGAAGATGCAGGATATGTGTGATGTGGTGTTTGACAGTGCTCAACATCAGTTTGGGGAAAAAAAGCTGTGTGTTAGGAAGACTCATATGGTTTACTTTTGGGTAGTCCTGCGAGGAGCAGGGAGTTGGACTTGATGATCCTTGTGGGTCCCTTCCAACGTGAGAAATTCTATGATTCTGAGAGAGGGGTGACAGTATAACACAATGCTGCAAAATACCAAAGGCCACAGTTAGACATGTCTGGCTCCAGTGTCCCCTCACCCACCCGAGGCCCCATGCTCAGCCAGGTTGACATGGTGGCTGCGGGGACGGTGCAAATCTTTTCTTTCCTATTATTGATTTCAGTGACTCCCTTCAACCCAAGTCTAACACCGTGGTTGTGGACAAGGAAGAGGAGAGGGATTATTCACCATGACATTGATCATTGGCTGACCTTTTGTTTTCCTTATGCCCAGGTTGCTCTGCTTCTAGAAACTCCGTTTTCTGGGCTGAACTGACCTTTGCAATGGCTTTTCTGAAATTACTGGAGGCTAGCCAGGCTTGAGCCTGGTCCTCTCTTGGTTTCTGCTCTAATCATGGCAAGTGTTGCACACACAGATGTATTTTCCTTTCCTTCGTGTCTCCAGTAATTGGTTTCTGCCTCTTACTCACACCTGTGACCAGACTGGAGCCCAGTCATAGCCACAAAGGCTATCATTCACTCCTGGCACTCCTGCCTGGTTTTAACAAGCTGTTCTCATATGCCACGAGCTCAGCACAAACTCTGGATTAAAAAATCAGCCTCATTTCCCAGCAGAAGATAGCCTCTTTCTCCTGGCCATAGCTTTTCAGAAGAATGAGCACCGTTACTGGTTGAGTTCGTATGCAGAGATAGATTGGAGTCCATGTTAGTCTAACTCAACTTGGCTAACGTTTGCTGCCTCCAGAATGAAAGGAGAAAATGAAACTATTGCTCAAGTGTAGTTTAAAATCAGTGACAAGAAGTTACAGGTGATACTTTTTATTGATCCAAAATTACTGCTAATGTGATGAGATTTTTTTAAAAGTGCTGATGTAGTACTATAGAGGGCTGTGGAAGGAACCCCAAACCAGAGGGTTTCAAACGGGAGCTCAAACCCCCAGCATCCTAAGGAGGCTGATGGCAGCTCATTTGAAGGTTAGTTCTCATGCATTTTGCTGCTGAGCGCTGGGCTGTTGGACCTAAATGAACCTAAATGCAAAGCCCACTAAAGCCGTGAGCATCTTTCCATCAGCTGTGGGACCATGGATCGGTCCTTACATGTTCTTCCAGCATGGGATCTTGTTTTCTGATGGCAGCAGAGAAAAAGTCAACTCAGTTTCCATCCTTTGTTAAATTCAAGTCAAAAGCTGAAAATTTTGTAAACCTTCCCTGAAGTCAGCCTGGAAACATTATAATTTTTTTGTTATCGAATACGTTTTTATTAGGTGCCAACTGAAGATCTAGGAGCTAAAGCATGCCCTATTACGCTGTTACGGCTTCCCATAATCTTTGTCTCTGGTTGCAAAGCCACAGTTTTCTTTCCTTTCCCTTCCCTTCCCCCTGGAACGAGCAGGGCACTGTCACGATTGCAAGCTTCAGTTCATGTTGTCGTGTGTGGCTGGATTACTGCTTTCCTCACGTTCATGTCACCAACACATACACTTTCCACCGAATGAAGGCTCATTTACCATCTGCTTGAGTGACTTCTAAATACCACTTCTCTGAGACACTCTGCGTCACTCTGCATGACTTTCTGATTGAACGTGAACATGATCTTGGATTAGCTGACAACATATATCTCTCTATATGTTTATATTTCTTTTGGACTCTTTCCTACCAGCTCCTGCAGACCCCAACAGCATCCTCCTCTGCAGGGATTGTACTTGCATGTGATTCCAGGTGTCATTTCCAATGAGAGAATTGCATGGCAGAAGGAAAAATCCAATTAATTGTTCATGTTGTCTCGTGTCATCTGTGTTAAAACAAAGAAGTTACATCAGGTGTTGGGTTTTTTCCTGGGTAGTGAGTACTCAGGAGCAAAACCCACCCAGATCTTTATTGTTCATCAAATTTCTATGAGACTTTTTAATGTATAAAAGCGTTGCACCTCATGCGATCAGTCTTGAAACTCTTTGCTCATATTCCTCACCGAGTTCAACGCTTTCTTTTTTGCCTTTTGTGATTCTTGCAAATGTTTGCAGCACATTTATTGTGGGAATGGAAAAGGGGCCCCAAAGAAAAGGCCCTGCTTTACTCAGTGATAGGCAACTGGTTTCACACTGAGATCAATGATGGGAGCAACTCTGCAGAAGATGAGGCACAAAGAGATTGCTTTGAATTCTGAATGTTGGTGTGTTGCTGATTCATTTATATAAAACTTATTTTTAAAAAAGACCAGGTAGTTCAAAGTATTAGTGCTACTGAAATGCAGTAGATTCCAGGAATATTATTCTGTAAAATCAACTAAAATGAAGAAAAAAAAAGTCTAATTGGCCTATTGAGGACCAAATGACAAATAAAATTTCAGTCTGGTTTCTAATTCAAGAAACACAGAAGAATTGCTTTTAAAACTTTGGCTCATTATGTACGATGATTTGGGTAGCATTAGTGACTAAGGCTTACGTCCAGAAAGGTATTTAGGCACATGCTTGTTCCTAGATTCCTGTGTGGATTTGTACCTCTGATCTGATTTTCAGCTACGCTGAACGTCTGTTGGTCCATGGCTTTCAGACAGGCTCTGCAGGTGGGCAGCACACCGGCAATGAAATTTCCAGTACTTACCTATGCAGTTTCGCTGAATTCAAAATGCATCATTAATTGGATTAATTCTGCCTTTTCTAACTTGGTCGCGAACAAATTTTATTTTCTCTCAAATGTACATTTCAACTTGAAATTGTTGCCCAGCCAGTGGCCACAGGTAACCCTGCTCTGCAGCCCCGGAGCTGCTCTCCCCGTTCCTTGGGCGTTGCATCAGGGCAGCGGTGCCTCCTCGGGACCACGCTGTGCAACTCCAGAAAATGCTGCCTAAGCACCTTTCTCTCCCTGTAAATGTTCGACGTCTCGCAATGTAAAGTGACTTTGTAAAAATAGCACCTTCTTACTCGACAAATCTGCTCCCTGTGTGTCTTTGAGTCACGTCGTCTTCCTTTACTGACAAAAACCAATGTCTGTTCCCGTCAGCACAGTACCGCTGATACGGCTGGGGAAAAGGGAGCTGCATTTTGCTTCGCTTCAAATATCAGGAGCTAAGTTCTGATTGAAGAACCTCGTGCCAGTTTTGAAGGCAAAGGAGGACTGTTTGGCTCTGAGGTTTAGGGTGGCCTTGCTGAGAGACAGAAAAAAACCCCAGGTCTTTGGTTGGTGACCTGGAAATTTGATGTGGAAATCAAAATTCCTGCAATGTGCTTCCTGCAAATTGAGTCAGCATTTGTAGCAAAACGATAAGTGGCTACTGCAGTGGTACGGATTATTGGGAATTAAATCTGTGTTTTTATTCAGTTTTGATTTACCAGATTTGATAAAATATTGGCTATATGTGCAAGTGCCTTGCACTGGTTGTCTAACCTCTATTAGTGTATTTTAATAATCAACTGCTATTCAGAAAATATCAAATTATCCAAAACTATTTGCAGTTTGTTTTCCCCAATGCTGTCTTTATAAAGTTTGCCTTTTTATAAAGATTCACAAAATCTTTTTGTTTTGCAATTTTCATGTGAAAATTCGTCTTCTTCATTTGGGTGAAAGTTTTTAATTACAAATTTCAGAATTTGGAAAATAATTAGAGCTGGGTCAGCAGACTATTTCTCAGTGAGATCACCTCTGTTTCTAGAGAGGTCTTCTTTTCAAACCATAATTACAAGGTTTTGAAGAAATGGGATTCTAATAGAAAAACAACAATAAAACGCCATATTCTGAAGTTGTAAAATTTTGCTCTGCATGTTTATGACACCCGTAGCAGACCTGCAGGTGTTAGCTGGCTCTTAGATTGAATCTATAGGATACAAAGGAGTTGCACATTTAAGTGTTCATATTTAAGTATTGAAATATATGACAGGAAAAAGAGGAACTCTTTGGAATATTTAAAAGGGGCAGATTGTGTTTTAAGAGGGAGGAAATACAGGAGCTGAAGACAGGGAAAGGACAGGTCCGAGCACCAGAAGTGAAGTGTTTCCAAGAAAGTTAAAAGTTTAAGATAAAGGATTTCTTTAGTGGTATTCTCTTATTAGATACAGGGTTTTGGAAGGCAGTTGTGAAAGAAAAGCTTCCTTGCTCGTGATCGGAGCCGATCAGTGATTTAAGGAATCATAACCTCATTGTTTAACGTCATTCTGTCCCGCCAGCCCTGGCATCCCATGAGGGGCTTCTGTTTAAGTCCTCATTATTTTCTCTCTCTTAATAATCATTCCCATTTCACTCATTATGGCGGAAACATTTCTACAATGCTTTCTTAAAAAAAAAAAAAAAAACTTTAAAAAAAAAAAAAAGCCAACAGCAAAACTACATCTCACTGCTGCTTGGAAGTGCTCTTGGTTTCTAATGGCTGGTGGGGAAGGACTGCGTGGTTTCCAGAATGACTCCTCCTGCTGTCTCCTTTTTGTCTTTGTTTCAACGTGTTTCTCTGAACAGTCAGAAGGTCAGTTTGAAAGATCGTGTCTTCTCCAGTCCCCGCGGTGCTGGCACCAAAGGGAAAGGCTCTCCACAGGCTCAGGGCATCCGGAGGTCCCCCAGCGCTGACCAGAGCATCGAGGACAGCCCAAGCAAAGTGCCCAAGAGCTGGAGCTTCGGAGACCGCAGCCGAGCCCGGCAAGCTTTCCGCATCAAGGGAGCAGCCTCGCGGCAAAACTCAGAAGGTGAGGGCTTGGGGCACCGTGCCGGACCCCAAATCCTTGTCCAGCCTCAACGTCCTCTCCCTCCCCGCCTAAGAAGGGCAGAGCTGCAAGCCAGGGTGCTTACAAAGGTCTCCTTCCCCTTCCAGTCCTTTAGCTTGGAGTATGAGAAGAGATAAGAAAACCTCTGCTGACACCCACGATGATATATGTATATTTATGTATGCAGGGATGGGGAAAGGAGGAAGAGTCAGGCATCTAGAGATGGATGAGAGCTGCAGTTGGCATTGCTGGATGTCACCATAACAGGTCTTGGGAAATGCTCCCATCGGGATGCTCAGCAAAGATATCTCTGGTGCTTCCCCCTGGGATTGCTGTTTGTGATCCGGGTTGCCTTTTCTCGCGTGGCACCAGCATGGGAAATAGTAACGCATTGTCTTTATTCCTCCCTCTCCCAAACCCAGAGGCAAGCCTCCCCGGAGAAGACATTCCTGATGAGAACAAAAGCTGCAACTGCGAGTTTGTGACGGAAGATTTGACACCAGGACTGAAAGTCAGCATCAGGGCAGTGTGGTAAGAAAGGGAGAGGGGGGAAGTAGACCGGAAAAATAAATAATAGGGAAAAAAAAAAAGAAATTTAAAGTCCAAGCCGAGGTGGCAAATGCTGAAATGTCTGTGCTGCAGGCTGGTTTTCCCCTGGGTGACTTGCCCTCCTTTACGGAAAATTCTGCCAGAAAGGGAAATTTTTGCTGAGGGAAGGAATAAATGGAGAAACAGGAAGATCCCCTGCAGGGATGCATCCAAATGATTGTTCTCACCAGTTTTGAGATTTAATGCTGACATTTATAAAAGCGGTACAGAGAGGACACTCGCACAGCTGATAGTCCAAGGGACATCGGGGACCCCCTGTCACAGACAGGGCTTCAGCCACGAGCCCCGGCAATCCCCGTCCCCTCTCCTCTTGCCACATTCTATCCCAAACCCACAGCGTTGGGATTTATTCCATTTTCCTTCCAAAGCAGCTCCCTGCGGTGTTTTTTATCTGCCACTAAGCAGGTCAGGCTGCAGCCCAGGAACTATATTTTGCCTTTCCTCTCCACCTCCTGCAGCATTATGAGATTCCTCGTCTCCAAGCGCAAGTTTAAGGAGAGCCTTCGGCCCTACGATGTGATGGATGTCATTGAGCAGTATTCAGCCGGTCACCTGGATATGCTCTCCCGGATTAAAAACCTTCAGGCCAGGCAAGAGACCCCTCTCTTTGCTTCACTTTTTCACTGTTTTTTGTTCATTGTGGAGGTATTGCCAGGACAGAGACGCTTTCCTTTGCAGCTACAACTTACTCTTTTTCTTCCTAAGCGAAAGCCTCAAGGAAAACATCAATGCTTGTGGCTGGAACCTGCAAGGATGAGCAGGACAGGGAGTGCAAATGGTGGTGGTATGCCACTAAAACCGCCTTAGTGCCCACCCCAGGACATACACCCTAAAATCACAGCTCATCCTACTTTACTTTGGGAGTTTCTGTCATTATAGTGTATCCCATAGGTAAGGCAGGTGCGTATCTCTGTGGTCCTCCTGGTAGGTCAGCAAAGGTTTGGTGCCCCAGTCTTAAGGTTAATGTGGCTAATTTGGTACCTTTCTGGAAGCGAGACAAGATAAAATCTGGTGTGCTGGTTGTGAGAGTGCTGCTACGGGCAGAGGGGCAGCAAGGAAGTAGCGGCTTCTCCAGCTGATGGGGCCCCTAAGCTGTTTTAGGAGGAATCCCTCCTCAGATGACACAGTCTGCCAAAAATACCTGCAGATGGGGATTTCTCATCCAAGCCCACTAACGTAGGTGTGGTTTAGCCGAGCTGCCTTTCAGCCTCTGTGCTCAAATTTTAGGGGGAGGTGAGTTAGCTTTAATAGGGGAAGAAATGTGAAAACGGGACAAATGGAACCGAGAAGGGCATTTAAAATTTCATGTTCTGCTACGATCACCCAATTATTTCTCCTGCAAAAAAGCACAGATGAATTTGGTCCCCTGAACAGAGGATCTGAGCTAAATCTTTTTGTCTGACCACTGCTCAGTTAGCCCTGATGTCCCACGTTGAAAGCCAGACCCCAAAACTCAACACCCCCCTGGCTGTGTTGGCTCAGCAGAAGCCACAGTTCTGCTGAGCTCAAAGGACACCCAGAACAGAGTCAGGGCTTGGCCATAGGCTATCTCCAGTCAAAATAATATACCATTTACTTTTACACTTGGAGAATGAAAGTATTTCCCTCCATAGCTACGGCAGCCCAGCTTCCTCTGGAAGCCGTTGAGGAAGTTTTCCTTTAATTTCAAACATATCTAGGTCCCCGGCAGAGTCAGCGAATGTGCAAAAAAATGTGTTTGGGTATGCAAACAGCTAACATGAACCCCAGGAATGGAATAGGAAAATTGTCTTAGGTAAAAGAGGAATCTCTCGTCTCCTGTTAATATCTCAGAGACCATTTCAACTCTGCTATTTTTGATGTTCAAGCAGCGGAGGTAACTTTCTCAGTGTTGCTGTGCATTTACCATTTCTAGATATGCAGCCAGAAGGTAAATTCTCCCTTGCGATGGAGACTAAAATATCCTGAAGAATTTCCTCTCTTTGAGCCTCTCACCCCCGTTCAGTACGAATTCTATCATTATAGATCCAAGATGTGTAGCTGAATCTGGAGAGGGAAGAGGAGGAGGGGATTTATATTTCCTAACTTTGATGACCTGAAATGTGAGGCCTCCAGGCTGCCTCCACAGTGGGTAGTGAACCATTGGGGTTGTCATCTCCACTGGCTCCAGATGAGGCACCTGAGTTTTTAGCACCCCAAGCTGGTGCGGCAGATTGCCTCACTGTCCGTGCAAGTCTCCTATTGCCAGTCCTTCAAGGTGATGTGCTGCAAAGACAGCGTGGTTTGGTTGGCTGTTTTTTGGGGTAAGGAATTATAGAATCACAGAATCGTTTAGGTTGTAAAAGACCTTTAAGATCATCAAGTCCAACCATTAACCTAACACTGCCAAGTCCACCACTAAACCAATTAAGGGGAGAGCAATAATTAATTTCATGTTTCCTGGCTTGGTGGCTGGATTATTTTTTAATGAAAGTAAAACTAGGAATCACTAAGGTTGGAAAGGACCTCTAAGATCTTCAGTCCAACCGTCAACCCAACACCACAATGCCTACTAAACCGTGTCCCAAAGTACCATGTCTGCCTGTTTTTTGAACACTTCCAGGGATGGGGACTCCACCACCTCTCTGGGCAGCCTGTTCCAATGCTTGACCACCCTTTCCATGAAGAAATTTTTCCTAATATCCAACCTAAACCTCCCCTGGCGTAGCTTGAGCCCATTTCCTCTCATCCTATCACTAATTACTTGGGAGAAGAGACCAACCCCCACCTCACTACAACCTCCTTTCAGGTAGTTGTAGAGTGTGGTAAGGTCTCCCCTCAGCCTCCTCTTCTCCAGACTAAACAATCCCAGTTCCCTCAGCTGCTCCTCATAAGACTTGTTCTCTAGACCCTTCACCAGCTTCATTGCCCTTCTCTGGACACACTCCAGCAACTCAATGTCCTTCTTGTACTGAGCAGCTTTCAAAGACCAAATTGAATTCTCCTCTTAGTGGTACCCATGGGACTGCAAATCTGAGGTTGCTGAGGCTGGACTAGGCTAGGGCTGCCATCCACCCCATTGCAGGGAAGTCAGGAGGACTGGGATCTGCTTTAAAATTGTGAAGTACCTAGATTTGGGATCCAGGGCTACCAGGCAGCTTCACTGCATTTCCCTGTCCCCACCGAGCAGGAGATCAGTGATGGTGACAGGAGCAGACCCCCTTGGGGTAATCCTTGGAGCACTCATCATCATAACCAAATGGGCACCAAGAAGTCCTGTGGCTGGTCACCTGCCTAGTACAGCTAGAAGGGGCACCCTGTAGACAAGGTGTGTGCCTGGGGTGGCCATGGCCAACGTTGCAGCATGACCAGCTGGAGCTAGAAGTACTGTGCACCCATACGGTGGAGCCCAGGGAGGCTGTCATGGGGAAGCTCAGAGGAGAACAGATATTTTTAATTCCCTTTCCTTCAGCAATCAAAGCACTGTGTTCTCTGTGCCAGCTCAGCTCGGCAGGGCTGGTTGTGACCTCCCGTAGCCAGGGCTTTGGTGGATTAAAGCTGCATTCAAGCAAATTTCTGGGGTGTTTACATGCACTTTCCTCTTTAATCATTAATGCCTCTGTCACCGTGTCTGTAATGCGCTCTTTTCAGTGTTGTGTTCACACTGTCTCATGTCTCATCCTGACACCTTGCCAACCATGGATGTCTCCCATTCATTGAGTTACACAATCCTGCAGCATATCTCGCCGACTCCAACAGCTCATGCTTTTCTGAACTAGCTGGGGATGTGTTATCTAGCACTGGAACTGAAAGGAGAATGAATATATGGGTTTTTTCATATCCAAGTGAGATATTGCTACACATATGCAAATATATTCCAGAGGGTAAAGCATGTTGCCTATTGTATCTGGGGTGGGGGGATCTCCTAATGATGTTTCAGCGGTGCCTAAATCTCCAAATCTTACCCCGGGGTGAGTAAGACTCTGGCTTTCATCAAGAACCACGTGGTAGGAGAGAGCCTTCTGTTTCCAGCGGAATATATTTTCAAATTCTCTCTCTTTCTCTCTCTCTGTCGTTCTGTTTTTCAGTTGTTTCTTTCTGCAACTTTTCTGACCAACTTTTCTCTACGTGTTGCTTCATTATGCATTTTGCTGGTGTCTTTTTTCTTATTTACTTTGCCAGGATAGATATGATTGTGGGTCCCCCGCCCCCTTCAACTCCCCGGCATAAGAAGTATCCAACCAAAGGACCCATGTATTCTTCCAAAGAATCTCCCCAATACTCGCCTAGGTTAGGATTCACCAAAATGCCGCTTTTTCTGGATTTTTCATTTGCTTAATGTCAAACCCCTTTCATGCCAGTTATATGACGGCATTTATCACTTAGCAGTGCAACTTGCTAAATCATGACTGAGAAGGGCTTGCTACCCTGGGTATGCTCTGATTTACTTTCAGTAATGAGCTTTCATACAAGGCAAGCCAAAAGAAAAAAAAAAGGGACATTCATAGAGTCATCAATAACCATCAGTTTCTTCAGCTAGCGTATTTCCTATTTTCAGTCTTCTTCTAGGCGTTAGAAAGCAGAATTATATCTTTTTAAAAATCTCATATTTTATCAGGCTGTCTTCCGATGTGAAAGGTGGAGTATTTACCCACAAAGCCAATATAAATGATCTGCTTTCTAAAACACGAAACACTCCACACACAAGCGAAGGAGCCTCTGCAGCTCTTTGCACTATGAAATTGGTTTTACTTCAGTGGGCAAAGTAAGAATGAAGTGTTTCATACCCGATGAACAGAGTGGTCCCTTTTTCTTGCTGATGCAACTCTACCAACCACGAAGGAAAAAGTTGTGTTAAAATATTACAACCACGGGACTCAAATTAAAAAAAAAAAAAAAAAAAAAAATCCTGATTTTGCAAGCAAAAAGAAGAGCAGGAGTCAAACCCAGCCCTCAGTCATGCAGCGAGATTTTTCTCATTGCTCTTATTAAGCTCTCTCCTTAGGTAAAACTGTACCTGAAGCTGATGCTGTGAGGACCATATTCTTACTGAAGTTCCCATTTGAGGGCATTCTGAGGTCTGGACAGCAGGGTCATGAGCTGAGCTCTATTTTCACCTTGTATTGAGACCACTAGAGCCTAAGGCAAGTATAAATATTTGCCAGAAAATCATTTTCCATGCACAAATGGTAGGTGATTTTTAAATGCAGCAAGCTTAGCTTCAAATAGTTTTTTTCTAAATATACTTGCCCTCCCTAAGAGCTAATACGTGACAAATCTCTTGATTTTTATTTAAGCTGCTCTGAGTAATCTTCACTAGAGGAATGTGAGTAAAAGAAATATCGAAAGCATACTTTTTCCCACTCAGCTAGCTCAAAGATTAAAAAAATCAGAGAGTTTTCCAGAAGCCCCAGGCTTTATGCTTGGAAAAAAGATGCTCTCAGAAAAGCATTTTTCCCATTTCTCCTCCCTGCCAAATGATGAGGCCCAAAACTGGTCTTTAAAAATGAACTAACTTTCTTATTTGCAGCAACATTTTGATTTTAAAGTAAAAATACATATTCAAATTGATTTTATTGTATTTAGCCTGTAAGGTTAGGTGTGCAACAAGCCTTCACTAGAGGCAAGATTTTCATGTGAAAGCTTGTGCCTCATACACAGAAAATGTGATTGATGGATATTAGGGGAGGAGGCCTCAAACTGGGATATTTATGTTATTCACTCCAAGTCTGTTGCTATATCAGCTTAACGTTAATGACTCTTCCCGCCCCTTGTTTTTACAGTTTCTAATACAGATGGCCAGACTAAAATCTGTTCACACATGCCCACTAGGCTCCTGGGACATTAAGACTTTTTTTTATAATTGCTCCCTTTTTAATGAATTGAATTTTCTCATTTCTTCTTTATTGAGCTGTGGCTGAGAGGCTCCAGAAGGCTGCTGAAATCTCTGCTCCCACCCATTACAAGGCTTATGCTGTATTTAATTGTCAGCAGCTGCATCCTCCCACAGACACCAGTGGGACTTGCGAGGTGCTCGAGGTGCCTGATGGATGGGAACCAGACCTCTGAGCAGCCCCAAGCCCAAATCCAAAAACTCTGGGTCAGGCTGTGCTGCTGCCGTGGCCTTCATCGTCTCGGCACCACATGGGTCCATGCCATAGGGACGCGTGCTGTGGGGTCCCCATGGGTTGCAGCAGCCTCTCCTTTTTAGCCTGCGCACCCCTGTGTTAGCCAAATGCTGCCGAGATCATAAGGAAACAGCCAGTGAAGGAAGAGAAACAAAACCAAGTGATGTCCCATGAGCTGTCTGAACCCCGCGGATTGCATTGGGGTGCTCTAGTGACAAGGGCTCTGTTCAGCCAAAAGTTTTCTGCAGTACCTCCCAGCAAAGGCAGCTGGCGACTAGTGGATGTCCGTGGCTGTGGTTTGGCTGAAGGTGTTTGCTCCGTGCTGTACGCACAGACAATTTGGATTAAATTCCTTTAATCAGCTAATTTAACATAGAATAGGTGCAACCTCAGCTGTAATTTTTAGACAACGGATATTGGTCAAAATGTCTAGAGCAAACTTTATTGCCAAATGAGGAGGTAAGTAGCCAGTCCTGTGACATGGATGAAGGGGGTTTGGCTTCAATGCCTGGATTGTGTACAAACAATTAAAAGAGATAAAGAAAAAAAGAAAAGAATTGAATATATATTCCCAAACACTTCATTTTTATCTCATTTGAGCCGTTTGACCTTTTGATGTCTGCTTCTGGCCCGAGGGTGATATATTACACCTCTTTGCATGCACTGTTAGCATGAAGCATAATGAAGCATGAGAAAACCTGCACTGTGGCTGATGCAAGACTTTACATTTTTTTTGTATCATTAGAAAGAAGGAAAGATATCAAAAGTTCACTTTAAAGAGCAACCCCCTTTCTCTCTCCCTCCCAAACTAAGACTCAGCAGAGCCTATCAAGGACAGCAGATGGCACAGTTTGTCATGCATCGTTAGAAATCTCTGAATCCTCTTCTGCCACAAAGGGAAAGATACGGGGCTGATTCTTCCAAAGCCTCAGCTGAATTCTTCCCTCAACACAGCCAAGATAAGCCAAGGAAAGGCACAAGGCTCCCCACGGGATGTAGTGCAGAAGTGGGGTTTGGCATCTCAGAAGATCTGTGGTCCCTTGTCACGCAGTAGGAACATACACTATCCCCCTCTGCACAGGTGGAATATGGTCTCTCTTCTTCATCTTTTGAGCTTTGCTGTCCAATTTGCACAAATCCTCAAACTCTTTTATAACGGCGGAAAGGACCTTCTGTTCTTTGCAGTGCTCAGCTAGGCACAGGTGGGTTGGGAGCTCATGAGGGATTTCCTCTCTTCTCTTGTATCAGATAAGGCACGAGTGAAATCTCTGCACTTTGCTGAGGGTAGGAGCACTCTCCCTTGGTCTAACTTCTGCCATGGGAAGTAAAGGGGTGGGAGACCTTGAGCCTGGTTTCTCCCATCAAGAGAGAAGGACTTGGTTCACCTTCTTCTCCCCTCTCTGCACTGAAGTCAGTGGCCCACAGCTGCCCACCACACCATCCTCGGTGCAGACCCTGCCTCCAACGTGAGATCTGGCTCTGGTTTCTCAGAGCTGTGGAAGATGACCACCTCAGGAGTCAGGACTGTGTTAAAGTATGGACACGAAGGCAATGAATCAAGCAGGAATTCTCCCAGGCGCTGGTGTCAATGGTATATGGGCAAGGGCTTCTGAATGCTTTATGGGTGAGCTCTGTGAAGGGCTTCAGTCCTGCTTTTAAATCACAGCAGGTCTACAGGCAAGTTGTGTCCAGCCTGAAGGTGATGGAAGAAGTCAGTGCTCTTCTATATGATACTAGTGAGCACTCTATCTGTGAAGTGCCAGCTGGCCTCCTGTGCTTCACATGGGTCATGTGAGGTTCATTTAATGGTTAGTTTTTCTCTTAAGGACATGGAAGAGAGAAGTCCTTCCTCAAATTCTGCAAGATTAGAAATAGGGTTACACAAGACTCTCTCTGCTATTATGATATGCCATAGCATGGCGATGTTCAGTTTTCCTCTCTGTTACAGCCTGTCCTGCCTCCCTGCTCTACTCAGCAACAGTTGAAGGACACGTCATTTCCATTAGTGGACACATTTCGCTATTAGTGCTGTGCTAGATGGGACACAAGGACAGAGCACCCTGATTGTTCTTGGCCTTCTGCAATATTCAGTAGCGTTTAGACTTTGGGCCTCTTTAAACGCGTGTTCATTTTTTTACTAGTCTACTTGCTTGTGCATACAGGGGAGGAGTTCGTACAGTGGCTGTACTACGCCTTGACTTGTGATTCCAAACCAAGGTAGCCTGAGGTATCCAATTTAATACCTCTTTGCTTACATGGTAACAACATTGTTGTAGGATTTCTTGTGCTGTATGTCATGTCAGTAATTGCATCCCTTGTGGGGAGTTCCTGTGCATGTCAATAATTTGCTTCTCCCATTACAAGAGGGAAGTAAGGCATGCATATTCCTCACGCTTGTGATTATAGCACTTGGTGCTCCTTGTACTCCTGCGCTTATATTGCTAAGCAAAGGATCAAACATAACGTTCTAAACAGAACTTTTAAAACAGATTCTGTCACATCCCTGCCCAAATGAAGTATCTTCTGGGATCAAAAGTGTGCTCTAAAATAATTGTTGGCTTATATTTTCTGTCTTTGGTGTGATGTGCTTATCCACTTCATGTCTTTGAGCCAGATCTTCTGGTGCTGTAAACTGCTGTTGCTCTAATATAAGCCAAGGGAGCCACGCTGGCCTGTACCCACTGATATCTGTCCCTTAATGTCAACAGCCAACATACGTATTAAGTCTCTGTCACATGTAAAGAAAACAGATGGCTCTTGTGTTGGAAATAGCCTCACGTCTCATTCTTTTCCTTGGTTTTTGTTTGTTTGTTCATTTTCCCCTGTCTGTCTGCGTTCAGCTCCTTCCTTTTCCTCCTCCTGGTGCATGGACCCATGGCCCACACGGCAGAACTGCGTAAGAAGCATTTTGAGTTTTCCGCTCAAGATACCTCAACTTGGTTTCAGTCAGATTAATTAACCCTTCTTTTCCCCTGCCACCCTTACTTTTGGTGCATTATGCAAGAGTAAAGTTTGCCTGGCGTATAATTAGGTTATGAACTGGGCTGCCATTAAGAAGCTATTCCAAAACTGAGTTGCTCCCCTGACTTTTGAGGGATCAAGAAGCTCCAGTGTTTACTCTCTAGAAAATTTATAATTTGATGCCTCAAATAAAATTGGCTTCCAGGTTCCAAACTGGCTCTGCCCTCCTTCTTCCTCTGTATACGGAGCTGTATATCAACCCAGGTATTTCTAGAATGGGAACGAGGAGTTGCAAATGTAACGTGTGTAAAGAAGTTAGTGCCAAACAACATGCCCTGTAGCTTTAGCTGCTGATTTGGCAGGAGTGTCCTCCGCTGTTACCGGCTTGGAGCCCTGCTAACAGAAAACATCTAATGATACAGGTATGAACTGCAGTAGTGTTGAGACAATTTGGTAATGTTTGGTGAGTTTATGACCAAATTCAGCCTTGATGTAATTCCACTAAAACAGTTAGAACTACACCTGTTTGTCTGGATCTTAGGGCAAGCGGGCTCATTTTCGTGGACATGAGAATTACACGTTTACATTTGCATTGAGGAGAGGAGAGGAAACTGCTGCAAAGACTGAAAAAAATCCCATTGACATATGCTAGACAGAAAACTTGATCTTCCCCCAAAATAATAATTTCTCGGTACGAATAAGACGTTAATTGATTTGGAAGAAAGCCAGTTAAAGAAATTCTTTGCAGTGGGTAAATTTACTGTGCATAATGTGCCAGGTTTTATCTGTGTAAACAGAAATGGATAATTTCAAACTCTGCTAATACTGCTCTGAATTTTGCATCTGAATTAACACTTCAGTGCCACTGCGTGTCTGTGAGTAATTTGGAGTGTTAGTTGGGAGAGAGGCTGTTGCTTTGTCCCACGGAGGCGCGACAAGAGGAGCCCTCCTCGCCTGCTGCCTCCAGCTGACTCCAGGTCCTTTTCCGGGGGTGGGGGGATTTTCTGATCCCGGTAGAGTTGACCAGATCGTTGGGAGAGGATCCTCCATGACCGACAAGGATCGGACCAAAGGGCCAGCGGAGGGGGAGCTGCCTGAAGACCCCAGCATGATGGGCAGGCTTGGAAAAGTTGAAAAACAGGTATACTGGGTCAGGAGGGAGTTCTTGTCAGAGGGTGTTGCATGCATTGTGTTGGTTTTTTCTTGCCTTATTTTTCCACAGTGGGACATTACCATTTAGAAAAAAGTAAGAGCTAAGAATATTTTGAAAAAGAAACAAGGTAGCTGTTGTGAAAGGGTACTAAATGTCTTAGGAGCCTAAGTACTCCTTTCAAAACAGGCACTTTGGAGTCTGTGAGTACAGACTTTCTTTTTTGGTGAGTCTACCAAAAGTCTACATTATTTTTGAAAACGGCACATTGGTTTCTTTGCCACCGTACTAGACATGTTTCAGATGAGTCCATGAGCCTGGCTGCTGTAGCTGCTGGCCTCACCGAAGATGAAAATCTTCCTAGAGGATAAGGCTCAGAAATGCCCATGGCCATATGAGCCCAGGCAAGTGCCAAATGCAGTAAGGAGCTGGAAGCCACTGGAAGGATGTGAGTGTGCTCCAGCTTTCCTGGAATTTGGTGCACGTCAAACGGATTATAGGAGCTTAAGAAAAACCCCATTAAAAGGTGGAAAATTAAGGTTTTTTTCAGAATAGGACAACAAATATTTAGTAAAAGTTTCAGTTTGGTGTAGGTCAGTGTAGACAGAGGTCATCTATGAAGCCCAGACCCACACTCATGCCTAGGTAGGCTGGAAGATGCTTGTACTAAGGATGTTGATTTGCTTCAGCCTGCAGGCAGTGTACAGTGCTGTAACTGTGGTGTTTTGCAGGTTCAGTCAATGGAGAAGAAGCTGGACTTCCTGGTGAACATTTACATGCAGCGGATGGGCATCCCACCGACGGAGACGGAGGCTTATTTTGGGTCCAAAGAACCAGACCCAGCACCTCCCTACCACAGCCCCGAAGACAGCAGGGAGCACATTGACAAGAACGGCTGCATCATCAAGATCATCAGGTCCACCAGCTCCATGGGTCAGAAGAACTTCTCTGCCCCGCCAGCACCGACCAACACATGCCCGCCCTCAACGTCATGCCAGCAGCAGGTCTACCAGCGGCAAAGCCACGGCTCCTCGCCCGTTGGAGACCCCGGCTCGCTGGTCCGCATCCCACCTCCGCCCTCCCATGAGCGCTCCTTGTCAGCGTACAGCGGTGGGCACAGGGCGAGCGCAGAGTACCTGAGGAATGAAGACATTACAACCAAACACCACGAGAGTGCCATGAGAGACAGCGACACATCCATCTCCATCCCCTCAGTAGACCACGAGGAACTGGAGCGCTCTTTCAGTGGCTTTAGCATCTCCCAGTCCAAAGAGAATTTGGACATCCTTAACAACGGTTGCTATGCAGCCGTGGCCAAAATCAGACCCTACATTGCAGAAGGGGAATCAGACACCGATTCTGACCTCTGCACGCCCTGCGGTCCTCCTCCCAGGTCGGCCACGGGCGAGGGACCCTTTAGTGACATGGGCTGGTCAGCCCCCAGGCAGTGAAGCCTTCTCACAGCCGCTGAGCCACGTCTGAGCGCTGGCAGCTGCCCGCTCCAGCTGTCCACGCGTCGAACTTCTCAAGGAGATTGACAGCTAAGGTTTTCCTCCTTCTAGGACATCCTTAGCTGGCGGATACTTTCTTGCAGCTTACTCTGGGGGGTGGAATGAGCAGGTCCGAGCCTGCATTTGTGGAAGAGGTCACGGTGGTGAGCGAACTGGAGCCGTGAAGTCCAGATTTCTTTCATACTCTGTTTCTAAGATCATTAGGTGAAATTATTTCACGGTGCAGGGTAGGCAATTTGCATTTCTTGGGAATCTTCAGAAGTGCAGGGCAGGAATAAATCACCCAGCCAGGGCTTTTGGAGGTGACAGTAACTGGTGGCTGACAAGTGTTACGTGGGAGTTGCCACGCCATGGCACTGGTGATTACACCTTTAGGTGTTTTGGAGTCACGGAGTGAACACGTGTCTGTTTCTGGCTTAGATTTCAGGTCACATGTCATTACGGGGGGTTGTTACTCTGTGGTTCGTCATTAGCAGTCAGGAAGGTGGCATAATTCCAGTATAATACATGGAAACATTCCGTAGGCCCCTGGAGGAGGGGGAAGGTGGCTGGAATATTTGCATGAACAGAAGACATGGCCTCAAAGTGGGACAGGTTAGGATACCGTTCTGAACCAGAGTGGTTTGGAAATTATCCCATCTTAGGAAACTGAAAAACTCAGAAATATGAGCTTGAGTGCAAGAAGAGAGACAACCCTGAGGGCAGAGAAATGAGACAGAGAAGGAGGGCAAGAGACTATGGGGCTGGAATTTTATGTTTTAAACCATGTATTATATTTAATTATCTATCCTCCTGTTGATCACAGACCTGGAGGTGCTTTGGAAGCAAAGGCAAACGAAAGGCAACCCCTCTGGAGGGCTGCCACGGGGTGAGGCCATTCTCGTGGCCAGCAATGCTGCTGTGGAGTGACAGCCACCAGGCCAAAGGGAGAGGGCGGATACGCAAGGTGCTGTGGTCCCCACGGTGCTGCGAGTTAAGTGCTGAGCTCCACCCTTTTGAAGCCCTGTTGGTCAGAGCAGGCACTTTTCTTACAGTTTGCATTGTGCCTGAACACTTTTGCACACACTATGCCCCGTGAAAATCTTCCCTTTCTTCTTCTGCCCTGCCAAGAATCTCACACCCGTGTTCTCGGGACATCCTTCGGTTTTGTTTGGATCCCTCAAGTTGAGTTAAGACGTGCTTCTTCGTTTCTTCATGGTCTTTCAGAAGCCTCTTACCTGTGCTTGCCCGCAAGTTGTGCCAATCCAAGTCTGCCCTGTTTTGTTGTTGTTAAAGTACTTTTTCTTGGAAAGATCATTGTGTCGTTACCAGGAACCTCAGCAGCACGTTCAGCTGGGGGAAGGCAGGGGGAGAAGCGATGCTCACAGTTTCTTTTGGGACCAAAACGAAGTCACAAAGTGATCATTTACCTGGATAGGTTGGTTGGGTTTTTTTGCAAGGGGGTGGATCAAGAAAAGTATGTTTGGGGCTGGGACACCATGGCCAGTATTGCGCCTCTGAACCCTCCCATGCATCTACAGCCCAAATCCTGTGCGTTTTCTGCTGGGGCTGTGTCTGTGATTTCAAACCCCATCTCTCCACATTTTGCCTGTGTCATATCAAGAGCCTGTTAAAGATATTTAGGTGACAGCTTCATTTCTGTGTGGCCTTTGAGAGGCTGAACATTGACTTGCTTGGGGTGAAGGGAGAATCACAGCCTTTTTCATTCCTTCTGTTTGCTTGACCAGAGGCAGCAACCGGGGGAGACCCAGGACTGTTTTGGCCTTAGGGAAGATGTGGGTGCAGTATGAGAGCTTGCAGACAGGAAATAAAACCATCCTTTTGCTAGTGCTCAGGACCA